AATTCAAACAAACATTATTCGATTAAAAATTAGACACAAAAGATCCGGGGGTCCGAACGCTAATCAGAGAGCCAGAGCATAACTACTTCTATGTATCTATCTAATGTGTTTCTATGTCACAAATCCCTAATATACTAGAATGTTACAAAACACAAAACTTATGTTATAGCAAACTTTACGACAAAAATAAACATAAATTTTAACATAACATAACAAACACATCAAAACTATGTATCTATTAGGAAAATTAAAACATTTCACTTCTTCATACAATACAGGGGCGGCATTAAATCGCATTACAAATTACAAAAATGAAATAAGTAATGTTGGCCGTTTTCCGATTACAGCACAAGAGCGCATTATGCGGCATAATGAGCAACTAAGCTTCAGCATAATTCGGCATTGTGCGTCACTGAGTCGCATTATGCTCTGTAATTGGAAAACTACCATTAAGTAAGGGCTGTAATTGGAAAACGGCCTATGTTTACTGAAACAACAATATCTAATTCAAATAAAAATATAAACTCAGCAGATCCTATTCCCATACGTCTACGGTCACCGACACACCTCGACAAAAGACGTCCACCCGACTTCTATGGACGGACATCTATTTAATTTTTAAGCTTTTAAATTAGAATATATTTTTTGAACATTTAAAATTAGTCCCAATACATATTATGTTGATAGAGGAGATTTTAGAGAAAAAAGTTGTAAAGCCGAGGATAAGACAAAAAAAACTATACACAAATTCATACAAATAAACTAGTATACTATTACATACAAATAAACTATAGTAGAATTATTTTGTCCGTGCAGTTTGGGTCATAAAAAATCGGAGCGGTGCAGCGAGTATTTCGCTCTCTCTTCCACTCACGAGCCTTATGGACGGGCATAGTGATGTGCATTATTGTTGTCGATAAGCGTTATCGATAGAGTATTTAGTTTTGTAATTTTGTGGGTTAGTGATAAAAATGAAAGAAAAAATCACTAATCGAACACTTACACAACATATCGCCGCAGCAAGTTAACGAGAACGGCAGAAATTAACACTTTGTAACTTTTCGGGATCTATTCTCATTTCAGTGAAAAATTTTAACACATTTTTGATAATAGCACGTGCTTGTGCTGGTATATATTTTTGCCAACAAGCAAAATATTTGAATAAATTCTGTCGTTTTGTTACAAAACAAAGGAGTAGCCATTGTGTCACTGAAGAAATTCAGAGTGCGAATGCACAAAATCACATTTCTCTTCGACATATGTCCTATAATTTGCAGGTAGGTACAACAAATGACTCGTAACATAACACCACCTCATGTCTCACCACCCTTCGTATACCACCCCGCCGCCGTGTACCTGCCTTCGATGACTCATTTGTTTTTATCGATAATGGCGTTGCGCCCGCGCAACATGTTCACCGCCTTAGCCGGGCTATGTTTTATGACCCAAACTGCACGGACAAAATAATTCTACTATAGTATACTCAGTATACGGCAAACGTATTTGACCAACAGACACAGCCCACTGAGTTTCTCGCCGGATCTTCTCAGTGGATCGCGTTTCCGATCCGGTGGTACGAAACACTGCTCTTGCTGGGGCCAGTATTAGCAACACTTTCGGTTTGAGCCCCGTGAGCTCATCTACACGCTAGGCCCTAGCGGCTACGGTAACGCTGGTATAGCCTCTCAAGGGTATCAGCACAGCTAGGAAAATAAAAGCAAACGTAACTGGCAAAGACAAAAGAATTAAGTACCATTATAATAAATAAATAACAGGGAACAAATAACGCACTGTGTTATGGGTACCATAGACTGACATGCATACTTATATACGTCTAAATACATATATAGATAATAAACACCCAGACAAAGAGCAAACGTTTGCAAAAGTTTGCCCGATATTTGAATCGAATCCACGACCCTTGCCGCAACAGTCAGGGACGCTAATCACTGCACTACGGAGTCAGTCAAAGCCATTTCCTCCCTCTACCTCTAAACTGATTTTTTCGTTTCGTTTTTTGTTTCTTAAATAGCTATGAACGTTCTTTAACGTTATTAATAACAAAAATTAGAAAGTTTCATTAAAAAATTTAGTACGTTAAAAAAATTTATTGAAGAACTGTTAGAACGAATAGAAAAAAATAGAACCAGTTTTGTTTAAATGTCAATAACAAACAAAAGAGAAAATGTCTACATTTTGAGGTTTCAGTGGTGATGTGTAAATTTCGATAACTGGTCTTACTCACTTTTATTCATTAAAAGCAATTTTTAGGTGAAACCAGTAAAACTAGCATACAGTTCAACTGTACACACCGATATTTTGTTGCTTAGTGGGTTGGACGACCCACTTAAGACCAGAGTTCTATGTTTCAGTTGTATAAGCACAACGGCTGCCCCCTACCCTTCAAACCGAAACGTATTACTGCTTCGCGGCAAAAACAGGCAGGGTGGTGGAACCTACCTCTATAGAATTCAGAAAATGCATTGTGGTGAACAATTAGTGTCAATTTTTTTTTTAGTGTGAGTTCCTAGCTCCTGAGCTAGCCTTCCTACATGTGTATGCAAATTATAATTTTTTTGTAAGAAAAACCCTTAGATTCCTTATCAGATAGAACGGGTTATTGAGCATATGGGAGGTTTAACGACGAAGGGAAGATCTTCCACCGAGCGGGTGATATTGCTCAGTAGACCCATAGTCTCAATGCTGTTGTTCGAAATCTGTATATATGCAAGCTTATCTTGAAAACGTTGCAAGCGAGACTCAGGCATCAGTCAAATATATTTTGTTCTATGTTGGTTACCCGCCCCAAACATTGTCATTACACAAATCGAGTAAAAACAATTTATGATTCAATAATTAAAAACAAATAACATTATATTGTTTGCTTCCTGGACTCACTTACTATTCTTTGAACATTTTCACATCTGAACACAGTCACTTTAACAAAACACGATCAAACACCAAGTCTATTGAAAACGTTTCTCGTAATGGTTAAGTTATTCGCACTTTGGTTGCCCAATCTGGATTTTACACTGGTTTCGGTCATAGACAATCTCCTCTCTGGTTTATTAAAAATTTGTGTGGCTTTCTTGGGTTGAATCTTTTTATTTATTTCAATTTCTTTGTACTGTATTTGATTTGAAAATTTCACAGATTTAGGTTTGGCTAATTTTTCTTTAACACTGACCGGTATTTCATCAGCTCTCATGGTACAGTTGATCTTTCTGATGTTGTTCTTTGAAGTAGTTACCATCACTGTTTTCTTTGTGGGTGGGGAAGCTTTCAATATGCCTTCATATTTAAGGGCATCTTTCTGCATCGGTATGACGTGGTCCACTTGTGCAGATTTTGCACCCAATCTCGCGAATATGGGCTTAGCGGACGGTTTTGTTGCATTGGTAACTGATTCGTTGCTACCAAGACGAGAGAACACCGTTTGCTTGTTAGATGGTGCTGTGAAAATATTATATTCGGTAATTAAATTTTGTAAATCAAGGTATCAATAAGGTATCATTAATAAATGAAATCGGTTACTAGGAAACTCATTAATGAGTAACTCATTCTATTCAAATAAATTATAAACACTGACCATAGCAAAAATCTCTATCATACCACATGACCAGATGCTGACTATGCCTAATTTCAGTTCAGAAGTCCTCATGGGTAATTGATACCACGGGGCCAGTAGTGTGGTATTAAGTAATTTTCAAATTCTTTAGTAAGAAGTGTTTTACCTTCACTGGTAACTAGTTGGGTCAGCCCTGTTGATCCAAAGCGAATGAGACGTGCTTTCTTCAAGTTCTTTTCACTTTCATCACTGTTAACAGAAAAGTTATTCTTAAAAAAATATTTAATTGCACTCACAGCACTGTGGCGGGTAGCCATCATAGAACACAACATATTTAACAAAAGTCGTAAGCGAGATTCAGGCATCGGTCAAACATCTTGTGTTCTATGATAGGTAGCCACTAAATGGTTTTAGTTCTAAATAGCAAGCATAACATGAGATGTAAGTATCAATGATACTGCTTTTTTACCCCTTAAGACCCACAGAATGATTATTTTGCAGTAGAAATAGGCAGGTGTCCGCGCCAGTAATTCACGTACAAGCGGGGACTACGAGGTCTGCGGGGGGGTCCAACCAGCACCACGGCATCGACGACTCGAGCGGCGAGGGCCGAACACACACAGCGGAACAGAACATTACTGGAACGATATAGAATCGCACGCGCGACTCGCGGCTAATATTGCATTAAAAATTTTATATACAGTCCACCTTACAATAAAACCTCAAGAACAAAACCTTTTATTTTACCGAGCTACCGAACAGCAGGATTGTGATATCTTACCATCTTCTCATCTTATACATATCTGTTAAGTAGGTGACTCTTTAACCTGCCTGGGGAATTTGGGCACTGACTCGTATAAATTGATTTAAGCATATTACAATATTAGTGTTATAAGTACATATATGTGTTTCTTTAACTTACATATTGTCATTAGGTTGAACTGCTTTCCGTTTCAATTGTGGTGAGGGGCTGGGTGATTCAGACTGAGAATTGCGAGTGTAATGTTCCAAGATTCGACTAGCCGCTGTAATAATTAATTTTATTAGCATTAATGTTTTTTTTATGTTTCTCCTCTATTTGTTTTTGCCATGCTATATTGATGGTCAATCAAAATTATTAAGTTTATATTTTGTGCAATATAATAATTAATTATAAATTTTAATTATTAATGTTAAAAATGACAAGTGAGTGATGACCATTATCAGTGAAAGATATAGAGTCCACATCATACTTCACCTTTGTTACCAACAGAAATTATATGAGAAAGAAATCGGATGATGTATTTTCTATGATTCTTGAAAACAGTCTCGAATGACTTACGTGATGAAGGTTGTGGGAGTGTAGAGCGACCTGTGATGGCCGCCACAGGCACCTTGTTCACACTAGTATTACTAAGCACCTTATCACGAGCTGCATTTTCGTGTACTTGTTTTGAATGACTGGAAAAGACAAAATATCATTTTCAAATGTAAAGCCTCATGAGTAGTAAGTAACTTATGTGTTAGTGTGCATTGGCTTCTACAGATCTGTGTTTAAAAAGCCCATCCAAAAATGTGTTATTGTGACTTTTATATATAAAAATGTATATATTCTATTTTAGAATAGCCCCTCAAGGTTACTAGAATAGGTTGAAAAAAAAAACATCGTAAGATGTAATCCCAGGCCACTTTGTAATCATTGTCCATAGAATTTACAATTTTATGCCAATCATGTGATGTAAGGTCAAAATGTTACTTTTACTGATAGCTGCTACCCTTTTAAATAAAGCTTCCCAATTTCTATTCAATTCAATTCAATTCCAAGTTGTGTGATTTACTTCACTCTTAAAATGTGTAACTAGAATACATCTGAACACTGAACTTGCTAAAATACAATTACAATGGGTATCTTGCCGATTAAGCTAACGATACAAAAAATTGATAAGCTATACATTTTAGTATTTAAGAAAAATAGGATTTTAACTAACCGTAATATAGCAATAACATCTCCCATTCGTGTTATCCCCATGTCTCTGAGGTACTCCTTATTCAGATCCAACAGCATATCACTCTGGATCCTGTTCTCGGTAAATGTAAGCGCATATGTAGCAGCCACATCTGATGGTATACCAGCTGTTGTGAAGAAACTTACCCACATACCTGAAAATGAGATTTTGTCTTTTACTTAATAGACTCTGAATAATCTCTGAAATAGTATGTTGCTAGTTCAACACAGGATCATGCTCAATTCCTCATTGGATTAGTGTTCAGTCCAACAGACCCAAGTTTTATTATGTGTTTTTAGATTTGTTTTTGTATCTCAAATAGTGATAAGCAATAAAGTGTGTGCTATTTACTAATTACTTAGCATAAAAGAACATACGTGCAAAACTTCTTCATTAAAACAAGAAAAATACCACGGGCGAATCAAGTGGAGGAATTTATTATTTACAAATTAATCTGGACTATGTTTTTCAGTAGTGTTTCATTATAATATACCGAAAAATTATCGGTTTTAATGAAAAAATATTGATTTTCCGTGTTGTAAGTTTAAGTAATGGAATGATCGGAACGAATAAATATCTGTCCAAAAATGTTATTAGAAGACGCCAAATATAAGCTAACATAGTGAAATCGAATTAAACATATTATGATTAACTTACCGGTTAGGTTTGAATCCATTTTGTTGTTTTTTACATTCATTTTAGAATAAATATCAAATTACATTACACGACACGATTACGGAGTTTACCTTCAACCTTGATTTACTACGCTAAGTGTATAATCTATGTTTACCACCATAGATATTTTTTTGGTACAATTTTTCCTTGTTAGGAGAAGCAAGGGGATCTAAACCCATACACCCTTCTACCATAGATAAGTCTTTTAAACGGTGGTAGGACCTCTTGTGTGACTATCACAGATATTAAACAGTTAATAAACCACCCTTTAAGCCTGAAGGAAGACTAAATAGACAAAATAAAACAAATCACACAACTTCACTCCTCGTGTTCCCGCCAAAAGTCCTTGTTTTTTATTATTCATAAACTACAGATAATTAAAACAGCGAATTATAAAAATCTTATTACTTGACGCTGGCTAATGCACAAACCGTACCGGAGTAAAAAAATAAAGAATTGATCTTATAACGATGCCCACCATTAACACCTTAAAATATACACTTAATATATTTGATTAACACCGTTTTACCGAGACTATTTCATCCCTTATCATCTCATTTCGTTTGTCTCATTCATCTTAATTGATATATGTCTCAAATCAATCAACCTTATTTCATTTCGATCCACATCCCGTTTTCACAAAACAGAAAATACAAAAGATGAGGCCATATAGTGTGATTCCTTCGCTTTTTCAGTTGACAAATTGTAGGACCACTACCGTACTACTTCATCAAAATGTCAAATATTCACCAAAAAACATTTACAAATGTGATAGTAATAAAAAAGTTTGATTCAGTGCCAATAATTGATGCCTTTTAATCCTTTCAAATTATTTAGTCGACCCCGAGTAAATAATACCAAATTCTGGAACCCAAATTTCTCAGGCAAGTTCACTATAAAAACACAAAATGTTTACATAACGCATTCATCGTCAGTTATACCGGTGCTTCATTTCGGAAGTCATCTAACGGGAATTATTTCATACTTATAGAAACGTCTAAACGGTCTTACTTTGTGCAGAGTTTCCAGTACAAAGGAATTAATCATTTAGGAAATGACACTAATCCTGTGGATGAATCATTTTCAAACGTCGGCTTTCCGATCCAGAATTTTAGTTTAAACATTAGTAATTATTAATATCGAAAGCATTAGAGATAACACATAGATAACATTACAGATAACATAATAATACTTACACTTTTCCAGATCTTTAATTAATTAGTAAAATTAAGCATGCAGTTATCATGCATATAGATACTAACTCTTTATAAAATATCAAGTATCCTCCAAACTCACCGATAAAAAAAACGGATTATTTTTCAGGGCCAATATTACAATTTACCACAAAAATGTCTGGATCACTCCACAAAGTTCCTAAAGTGGACATTGATAAATCTGGAGTATTCAAGTACATCCTCCTGAAGGTTTATGACCAAGAAGTTGATGGAGTGGAACCTTCCACTATTGTCTTAAGAGGATATAAGAGATGCAACTATCACTCTGATATATATGATGAGGTAACTACTTTTTTCATTTCAATATGCGTTCCTGAAGGCCAAAAATCATTACTTTCTAATTGAACAAAACTATAAAAGTAGTTTAAAATATTCTAACCAGACATTTTATATAAACTGAATATTTCTATGGATAAATAATAAAAAAAATTAATATTTCTGTTACTCAGTTTTATCAATGCAGTTTTCTTGCCATCTTTACACTGTAACCCATCAACTCATTCCTTAAAGTATTAAATATTGCTAGTAGATAAATTTCCTATTGTGAGGAATTTCAATTTAAAGAATATATGAAAAAAAACGGTGCATATACAACTTAGTGCATATGAATGAAGTGAAAGTTCTTTTTCGATGTGTAGTATTGTGGTTTTCTTCATTTTTCATCCTTAAATCAGATTGCTATTGTAATAGGGAATGCTGTGTGTAAGAGATGCGACATCTTCAACATTTATATTTTTAAATATTTTAAATTATACATAGAAAAATAAATATATATATATTTTTTAAATACTTTATTAAAATATTGTACGCTACTAGTTGCTAACGCTCACGCTAGCCTGTAACAAGTATACTACGCTCATGCATTCGAGTGTCACACCTCATTCTCGCTCTGTCTCTTTCTATTCCATGGTAGCGTGAAACGTTAAATGTGATCTTGTTGGAAGTCGCATTAGAAGTTTCACTTCCAAATTAAAATCACAAATACTAAAAGTGGAAATAATATGATGTGACTAATAAAAAAAAAGGGTGCGTGTACTTATGTACGCGCGTAAGAAGTTATACTTTTTTTTATTTTTTAAATATTAAATAATTACTAATAAATATTTAACGTTAATAATTTAATAATATTTAGTATGAATTATATTAAATAATAATTTTGTCATTAATATTACTAAATAATACATACAGATAGTTAACCTCAATTGTATTGGAGTACTTAGGAAGGTTGATGAGCACAGTTTTTTCACAAATATTTTCTAATATTAATTAGTATTGATTTAAATATTCAATTTAGATCACTTCTGATTATAATTCAGATACACACATAAAATTTGCACTTGTATAATGAAAAATGAAATGAAAATGAAAACACGTGTTTTAAATGTAGAAACTCATAGCATGTGGATAAATATTATAAATATAAATACACAGTGAACAGAGGCGGCGTGCGTGCCAACATGCGCCACAAACAGAGGTTTCATTTCTGTTTTGTTGGTAGCATTTTTTACGAGTGTACATGCGCGAAAGTTCACCTGCGGCTATATTCAGACTCGCCAAGTTACGTCGGTAGTATTGTAATGAGCGATTTAGTAGGCAACTTCATTTCTGTTAATTTTCTGTCACGGTGCGCGCGCATAGTAAAATTTCACTCTCATCAATTTTTCATAACGCGTCTAAAGAAGTATAACTTCAAAAAAAGCAAAGTGTATAAGTTATGAAGTTAGATATAGAGAAACCTAAAGAGGGTATAGTAAAGCTTGACTGATTCAGTATGTTAAAAAAATCTATGTAGATTTTCCTTTAAAACTAAAATTGTTTAATTTAAATTTCAGGTACAAGGTAAATTAATCCCCTTTGATTGTGAGCCTTGGGGTGGTGGTAGAATATCTCATGATCCAGACAATAAGAAGATACACATCTATGGATACTCTCAGGCCTATGGAAAGGCAGACCATGAGGAGGCAGCCAAACTAATCAAGAATGCATATCCAGATTACACAATCACAATCAGTGATGAAGGATACTAATAATTACTGATGCATGATTTTTTTTGTACATTTATTAAAATTATAAATTGTTTGTAAAAAGGGACCATGTTTATTAACCCTTTGCACTATCGGAAATCAGTAGTAAAACGAAAACGTAACAAACGCTCTAATGGAGCTAGATTAATCGAGCGAGTTCTGCCAACGTGATGTCAGTTGGTTTAAACACACCTACGCACTGATGACACATAGACATGCAGAGTTTGCACAAGATAAGTTTCTTTGTGTGTCTGTTGTCCCGAGGAAGAGGCTGGACTCCTACCAGACGCGTGCGTCGGTGGTGGATCATGGGAGCCTCTGGGCGACATTCTCAGAGGTATTGTCCGATCTCTTAGGATTCCTATCACTATCGTATCGTTACTTTGATATCACAATTCACAATAGCATAGAGCAATAAATTCGAATTCGCTCTCTTTTGAGATGAGAAAAAAGAACGGTGAAAATAAGCGATAACGTAAAATAAAACCAAACTTAAACTATGTCTAAATAGTAATATACTTGAAGATCCATCCGGCTATGGAATGAGCTCCCCTCCACGGTGTTTCCCGAGCGCTATGACGTCCTTCTTCAAACGAGGCTTGTGGAGAGTATTAAGCGGTAGGCAGCGGCTTGGCTCTGCCCCTGGCATTGCTGAAGTCCATGGGCGACGGTAACCACAAACCATCAGGTGGGCCGTATGCTCGTCTGCCTACAAAGGCAATAAAAGAATTCCCAAATATAACATCTTTCTTTAACGTACGTTTTTAAATTCAGCAAAAAAGCGAGCGAATGCGAAAATATAATATGTTGGGGAAAAGTCTTTTCGCATTATAGTATGTATGAACTTGTAATAAAATCTCTTTGGCTATACTATTTGGATCTGGCTGGTTTTGGTATCATTAAAAGTTTAAATTTTAAAGAAGATAGTTTCAAATTCAAATTATGAAATACCTACTTTGTGATTTTTATTTAGTTTTCGTACTGTCAAAATGAGTAAATCTAATGAAGAAATTCGATACCTACATTTTAAAATTGCGATGTTTATGGACGTGTCTGTGAGAGTAGCACAAATTTGGTTTATCTAAGCGTTTTCAATCCGGAAATTTTGATATCAAAGATGCACGTCGCTCTGGTCGCCCTATTACGGATAAAATGGATGCCATCTTTGAAAAAGTGGAGCAAGATCGCCATATCAGTATTTACGACGTAGCTGAAGAGCTGAGAATTGACCACAAAACAGTCTTGGCGCATTTGCAAAACAACTGGGTACACAAAAAAGCTCGATATTTGGGTACCTCACGAGCTCACTGAAAAAAAACCTAGTGAACTACACGGTTGTGATTCTTTATTACGACGTAATGAAACCGAACCGTTTTTTAAGAAGCTGATAACCAGTGATGAAAAGTGGATCACGTACGACAAGACATGCGAAAAAGGTCGTGGTCAAAGGCCGGTCAGGCTCATCACAGACTGTGGCGAAACCCGGGTTAACTCTCAACAAGGTGATTCTTTGTGTGTGTTGGGATCGGAAGGGCATTATTAATTATGAGCAGTTACCACCAGGCAGGACCATCGATTCTAAACTCTACTGCGAACAGCTGATGAGATTAAAGCAAGAAGTTGAGAGAAAGCGGCCGGAATCAATCAATAGAAGAGGTGTGGTTTTTCATCATGATAACGCTAGACCACACACATCTTTGGCCACTCAGTAAAAATTAAGAGAGCTTGGCTGGGAGGTGTTAATGCATCCGCCGTATAGTCCTGACCTTGCACCTTCAGAGGACGAGAGGACTGCCAAAACCAACTGTCGTGATATTTTAATCAGAAGCCCCAAAATGTATATAGCAATGTGATCATGTCCCTACCTACAAGATGGCAAAAAGTTATCGAACAAAATATAGTTAAATGTAAATAAATTATATTAAAAATGTTGTGAATTTTCTTAAAAAATGCGAAGAAACTTTTTCCCGAACCTTATATTCCATCTCAATTCATTTCACTCCACATTAACATTTTCCATAAAAATAAGAATATAAATTAAAATAAGACTTGACTTAAAGGTTTTAGTTACCAGGTCATAAAATCCCATAAAAATATATAATTTAGAAAGTTGTCTAATTTTGGTATTGACTCTCGAATATATTAAGTGTATAATCTATGGTATTGACTGTAGAATACATAAATAAAATAAACAATTGGTTAGCACTTTTTTAACATAAGTTGAAAAACTATTGTCAAAAATAAAATGGGGAATTTTACTACAGAAGACAAAATATGTATAACACGTGAGATAACAGTAAATAAAACTGAAGGTTATGACGATATAATCACCAATTTTGATATAAAGGAAACATGCAAATGGATCGAAAGAAAAAAGTTTGCGAAAGTAATTAAAAATCTTAATTGAACACTCTTTTATTCCAATTTGGTATCTACAAGATTTAATGTGTCTTCAGGTGTGCTTACAATTTCCCGATGACCTGCTAGAAGTAAGTTGCAAAGTTTATAAGGAAATTAAAGATCGAATTGAAGTTGACCTGTATATTATGGGAGATACATCATATGCTAGGTAAATATTAAATTATTTTTGCAAGTTTAATCCGTCAAATGTGGAAAGAAAATGATAATGATCGGTTGTGACCATAAAAAGTAAAACTCAATATTGATGCACTGTGTTTTCTTCTACGATTTTTTATTTATTTATCGTGCGTTAATTTTTATTATTATTATTTTAATCATGCCAAAATATCGAAAAATCGTTAAAACAAAAGTCATGGTAAGTACCCATTATTTAAGTACTTATACCTTCTATTTCTATTGAAGTTATTTTCTTTCTTGTATTCTTATTTTTACAGCTGTTGTATAGATTCTGTGGCAGCTATGCATGTGCAGGCTAATGGGGTTGTGCATTATGGTCACAAATGCTTTTCAAAAACTGATATACCAGTTTACATGGTATTGCCAAAAGAAAAACTGGATTTTGATGCAGCAATAAATACATTGAAAAAAATATATGATTCTGATGACAACATGAAGTTATGCCTCTTTTATGGTGCAGAATTTGAACACTGCAATGGTATAATTTTTATTTGAAATAATTTATAAATTTAAAGTAATATTTTTAAGTTCGTATTGTAATTCTTGTTTAGAAAATATCACCCGAAAATGGTTTCAAAAATATCCAAAGAGTTATATATGTCACATTGAATTAGAAGATAAGCCTGAGAGATTTCTTGGAAGGATAATCAAAGACGTACAAAATGTGGAATACCCAATTCAAGCATTGAAAGATTGTATCTGCATTTATTTAGGCTCTCGAGGGCAGACAATATTCAACTACACTATATCTATTCCAGGTATGTATTATTACATAATATCAATTTGTATTTTGTGCTCATTGATGCTGAGCTCTTCGGAAGTTGGTTTGCAATTTAAACATCAATTTTTAAATTTCAAATTAGCAGGTGGGGCTACAATGTTATACTAATATTTAAAAAAATTACAGCTACCAAATGGTACTTATTAAATCCATCATCCAGTCAGTTAGAACAATTGGATGAAACAATATGGTTTAAGCGCAGACGCTTCCTCATAGAGAAGTGTAAAGATGCTAATATAATTGGTATACTTATATGTAAGCTATCAGGTAAACAGACCAAAGATATCANTAGCAGGTGTGGCTACAATGTTATACTAATATTTAAAAAAATTACAGCTACCAAATGGTACTTATTAAATCCATCATCCAGTCAGTTAGAACAATTGGATGAAACAATATGGTTTAAGCGCAGACGCTTCCTCATAGAGAAGTGTAAAGATGCTAATATAATTGGTATACTTATATGTAAGCTATCAGGTAAACAGACCAAAGATATCATCAGTAGAATGAAAGAACTCTGTAAAGTAAATGGAAAGAAAAGCTACATTGTGTCTGTTGGTAAACCCAATAGTGCTAAATTAGCCAATTTTCCTGAAGTAAGTATAGGTTATTAAGTAAGTAAATATTATAATTAAAAGGATGAATGTAATTATTTTGCCACTTTTAACAGTTCTTCTATTTATTTCTATATTTTTTTATGTTTCATTATTTTAAAATTCAAATTAAATGTTTGAGAATCTGTAGAACACAGCTTTCAGCATCAACTTTGAGACAACTTTAAAATTCAAATTAAATAACTTTACTAAACAGCTGTTTATATTGAAAAATCTGTATTTTGCAGTAACTATTGGCAATATAATATGTCATAACTATTTAATTCGTGTCTTTAGTAAAATCTCTCATATAGTAAGTACAATTCTATTACAGATTGACATATATGTGATGATTGCATGTCCAGAAAATGATCTATACAGTTCGCGGGACTTTTATAGACCAATAGTTTTCCCGTACGAACTTGAAATTGCCCTCAATTCCAACAGAGAACCTTTTCCCACATACCATGTCACAGACTATGATGAACTTCTACCTGGAAGAAGACACTATGGAGATATCAAACCTATACAAGAGATCGCAGATGTTAGTCTAATAACAGGCCGAATAAGAGAAGCAAAAGTGAACCATTTAGATGGCAGTAGTCAAGAACTAGCTGAACAACAAAATTGGGCTTTAGAATCTATAGGAAAGACCCTCCAAGATAGATCTTGGAAAGGTCTAGAACAAAAACTAGGCGAAACTGAAGTAAAAAAGGTGGAAGAAGGACGTAAAGGCATAGCATTACAGTACAGCAATGAACAGGAGTGAATTTTGATTTCTTTATTGTTACTATTTTAATTAGAAAACTTATATCTACTAAGACTGGTTAGTGAAATACAGTGTGGCCATTTCAATAGTATGAATTTATTTTGTAACTGATATTTCCCAAGTTTATTGCACAAAGGTTAGTATCATCAAATACCAATACTGATATGATGTTCTATGAACAGTCATACATTTCTTGTTACTGGCATTTTAGTGAAAATGAATTTATTAACAGTCTCATTAGTTCAGACCCTTTGATTGAGGGGGTTCTGTGGTGATTTGTGCCATTCTTTCTTTAGCAGTTCTTTGAGCTGAGAAAGCCTGAGTGAAGGGTTCTCGGCTTTAAGACGTGGCAGATTGATTTGTTCAAAGGCTGTGAAGGCTGCTTTAAGTCGTTTTTCAGGATGTCTATCTACTTCCGGCTTATCACTGGAATAGTAAGCATATTAAATTAGGTTTTTATTTTTTTATTAAGCTCTTAGACATAATCACATTATGATACCAATACAGTGGGAACTAATTAAGTTTCGACACAACCGAATGCTGTTGGCACTTTGACCTTATGTTTAGAGATGGAATGGAAGTATGATTGATTATTAGATTGTACAAGTTGTCTATTAATTTATATTCACAAAAAAATATATATATTACCTGAGTATCGCGAGAGCTTCATCAACAGTCTGTGCTAATTCACCATCTAACTGTATCCTGTTTAGATTTTCTTCTAAGGGAGGTTCTTCAATGACAACCTTTGAGGGCTGGGAAAAAGCAGGCATTTATTAATAGGGTTATTTCTCAAGGTTGATTATGTGCATTATATGTGCATGAAAACCTAAAAGCAGTCTATAAAATAAAATTTGTTAGGCATTGAATGCATTTTTCATAGGGGACGCATTTCCTACAAAAGAGGAAGTCTAATTTGGATTCTAAATGGTTCTAATTTTTTTAATTGTGTATGTGTATCTTATATTTACTAGACATTATTTTATATTTAATATNTATTTCTCAAGGTTGATTATGTGCATTATATGTGCATGAAAACCTAAAAGCAGTCTATAAAATAAAATTTGTTAGGCATTGAATGCATTTTTCATAGGGGACGCATTTCCTACAAAAGAGGAAGTCTAATTTGGATTCTAAATGGTTCTAATTTTTTTAATTGTGTATGTGTATCTTATATTTACTAGACATTATTTTATATTTAATATATTATATATTCTTATCCATTTTCTTTTAAAACTACATGCCCAATTTAGAGTTACAGTGCTAGCAAACACTTTTCTATAAACATCAAAAAAGTACATTGGCATGAAATGAAAAGATACTTCCTACTACTGTTACCTACTATAAGTAGATGAAGAAGCACTTCTGGCTACCAGTTACTAGTACTATTACTAATAGTAATGGAGGCTTACTACATGTATAGGAGTATTTTCTGATCAAAAAGTACAATACAACCTCTGATCTTGCTTGCTAGTTGTAATTTAGAAGTGGTTTTGCAAAGCAAGTTTTATTTAAATAATTTAGAATATCCAAATCAATTTCATCAACCTATAGTGAAAGTTTCATTCATAATATTTCTTTTTATACAGGACCAAATCAAATAATTTATTCTAATTGTTAAAGTGAATGATGGTTTTTTTTTGTTTAAATTGAAATTAGAATATTTAAGTGTTATTATATTATGTATTGGTAAATTCTGGATGCCGCACATTTTTATAATTAAATTTAATGTGAACAGTATGTGGGAGAATATAACATTGTTTATTCTTTATTCTGATAACCAGGGAACAATGACCTCTCAATGATATAATTGTCAATATTTTAAATTTTTTAGCCAAGTACTTATTTCATTCAGTCAAGAATTAAAATGTTCAAGGAGCTTCTTCTTTTTTCCATGTTTTACAATGGAACCTAAACAATTGATAAATAAATTTACCACAGGCTTAGCAGTTTCAGGCTTAGCCATCTTCTCCTTGGCTTGAGAAATCTGTGCTCTGGTGATTTTTGGAGGAGGTGGTGCAGTCTTGGTGGTACTTTTAATAGATTCCAATTCCTTTTCAAGCAGTGCCTTTGCTTCAGCTTTCTTTTGTAATTGATCTAAACGTTTTTTTTCTTGCTCTTCCTAAACATATAGTATTTATGCTATTTAAATCAAATATTTATTTCTAAACTGATAAAATAGAAACTATGGTTCACACAATATTTTTTGAGGATTTAAATATATATGTATTAAATGTAAAAATAGATGCTGCAAACTTTTTTAATATTATGCATCACAACACTAATTTAGAAGGTTTACGAGATATCAATTCTAACCTTTTTCTGTTGTTTCTTCTTAAGTTTATCATCATTATCTTCCCATTCTGCATCCTCTACAGCTTTCTTTGTTTTTTGATCTTTTTCCAGTTTAGCATTTTCTTTGCGCTGTCGAGCTGCTACAGCTTTGCTATTCTCTCCAGTGAATTTCTTTGGCATTTTGTGCAAATACTGGAATATAGAAAATACCTACATAAGCTTTGTTAAAATTTCACACATGCTTTATTGTTACACATGTATATTTCTATTTTATTTTATTATATTTAAATACACTGGGAGCGTTTGTATTCTCTTAAACTTAAGGATATACACTTCGTTCACAGCTGTACAGAATACCTGCGAAGTGCGAGGTACTAAATAAAAGCTAATCAGTCAATGTGTGAAGTGCAAATTAGAAAACGAAGGGCAAAAACAGTGGTTCCAGTTGAGTTTTAATGAAATTTGACATTGACAGCTTGAAATCCTGCTAAATGTAGGTACTATGTGGTTTCCTTTTTCCAGTAAGAAACCTGAAGATATACCATTCAGCTCAATCTCAAATAAGATAATGATATGAAAAATAAGATGAAGTGAAATGGGGTGAAGTTGATTTGAGATTATTGATCGAGATTAAAATTATTGGGATAAAATTAAATGCTAAGAGATCGGTTTTTTTCCCTGCCTAAACTGATAATCTAGGAATTTGTGCCCGCGTAACCGGGGGACTAGGTGAGCTCACGGGGCTCTAACCTGAGGACGTTAACAAACACTATCCCTAGCAAGAGCAGTGCTGCGCAGAATCTACCAGCGGATCGGAAACGCGGCCAATAGAGAATATTTTTTTTGCCTAGATTAGTGGCCGAGCTCACAACCCACCTGGTTTTAAGTGGTTACTGGAGCCCATAGACATCTACAACGTAAATGCCGCCACCCACCTTGAAATATGAGTTCTAAGATATCAGTATAGTTACAACGGCTGCCCCACCCTTCAAACCGAAACGCATAACTCCTACACCTCAGCAATAGGCGGAGTGGTGATACCTGCGCGTGCGGACTACGCCAAGAAACTCAGCGGGTTGTGTCTGTAGGATAATTTACTCGCCGAACTCGCAAGCGATGGAATCGACGAGAACGGTGACTGGCACCGATGGTGGATGAGAGGGTCCGAAATGACGTGCTTAGGGCGACGGCGACTGTTTACCATATGGTCTGTATGTAGATATTAAGCACGGATAGAATATGTTTATGGCTCAAATTAAATCGTGAGATCGCTTTATTTAATATTTATGAAAGTTGCTGTTTAGAGAATAATATGAGCGACAAGCACACTTTTTACCGTCTTCCTGCTAAAATTTATTTAGTTGGAGAATAATTATATTTGGCTATTTCTATCATCCTACCCCCGAACTTTAATAGTCGGTGATCGTCTCACCTCAACAGCATTAATTTATCAAACTAAGTACTCTATAAAATATGCAGTAGGAACAACATTTTAATGAATATATAAATTACCAAAAAATATAGTTTTTAAATAGGTATGGCTTTGAAGCCAATAACCTTATGGAAAAGGGGTGGTAGTAACTTTTTTTATCCAATTTGGGATCTGTATCGGGTTCTCGTTGCGCATTCAATTTCTCACTCGCGCCGTTAATTTAGGTATCCGACACCTCTTCCCTTTGCTATTTACGAGATTCTTACATCGCACTAAGTTGCTTAGTGTAATCTGTCCTTTTCTGACATTACAACAAACAGACGTGTCAAAACTGTCAAAACAATTGTCAAAAATTCATGGTTTATTGCTGTTTTCCTACGATTTTCGTAAAAATAACATTAAATTACTTATTGATTCTCACTTCACCAATTAGTAAATGAAAAGGAATATAAAAGGTCCATGCCTATACGAAATTCTTTAGGTCCCATTTTTGTGTAGAAAAAGACAAATATGGCATTAGTAGCGTATGAAAATAGCGATTCGAGTGATTTTGAAGATTGTGATACAGAATGTCCTGCTGCTGTAATATCTACTGAGAAATACGGTACCTAAATTTCACACGATACTCTAGCTTTTGATATAAGACTTGTCTTGAGTTAATTTATTGTCGTTACTTTCAGCTGCATCTACTTCGACTTTGGTGCACGACACAACAGAGCCTTGCCAAAATTTATTCAATCTTTTACCCGAGCCATCCCACAAGAAACCATTGGTTGTAGAGGAAGATGATGAGTTCTTACACAAAAAAGAAAAACACATTGTAAAACCAAAGGCTAAGATATCTGTACCTTCATTACAAGATGTAAGGAAAAAATAATTTGGTTATTAAGGGGGACACCAAACATACAACACAAGGGGCATTGTGTGAATTATCAGCTATTTGAATGGAGTAAACTTAATTGAAGTTCAATTAAAAACACCAAACTGTTGATGCAAATATTAAAATGTAGATTTAATTACAAAGATAAATGTCGTCTAAACCAAAAAGTCTTTCACCCCTCCATATGACCCCTTTCAAATGACTCTACTTTATTTAATTTTGCTTCATCCTTCATCTAAGGCATTTTTAAATTGATTGAAGATTTTTATAAACTCAGATTACACATTTTCCACACCTACAAACAATATCTAAAGTAGTTATAAGAAATGTTAATTAAATTGAAATAATCACCTAATCATAATTTTTTTGTAAAAAAACTACTTCATTATATCTTACATCACTACATAAAAAGTAATGTTAACACTTTTTATTTATATGACTGGCTCTTACAGTAATCATATTCTCATCAGAGTGCTTGTTATAACAGAAATTCCTATTGGCATATTCAATTGTTAACTGATATTTAATCTTATTTATTGTTTGCAGTTTAAAGACATGGAAGACAGTTTACCAAATAACAAAAATAAAATTCACAGTGGTGGAGTAAGTAACTGCATAGATAAAACTTTATGTTATTTTTAATTGCTTTGTTTTTTTTTCTTAATATGTGTAAAATAAAAAAATGTTTATTATTATGTTGTAGAAAAAATCTGGTCTCCTCAGCATACTTCCCCAGCCCAAGAATGGAGTGACATTAACAAATAAATCATTTATCCCCAATATACTTGTAAAAAATCCAACCACAACTAGCATTAAGAAAAAGCAGCAAACTCAATCATCACCAAAAAAAGTTAAAAAAGAAACTCAGTCAATAATAAATGATTATTCAGATGAAAGTGACAGTGAGGAATTAGGAAATGATTTCTTTTCAATAAATAAACCTGTACTCATTGCTCCTGAAGTATTGTCTGTAGATAGTGAATTGGTACAAAATACAAACACAAGTAAGGGACTATCAAGTTTCGACTCTCACATTAATAACAATATGAATGGGTATGAAACTGGAGAGACTGATCTAAATGTCGTTGCAAGTACAGAGACGCCCGTTGATAATTCCCATGACTTAGAAATACCTGTTGAGAATCACAATGACTTTCAACAACCTTCTAATAGTAATGAGGATATATTGGATGATGAAGCTGTAAGTTATGTTTCATTTGCATATTCTTATCATTGGTAACAAGTGGTAATTAATAATATTATAGTTATTAGTTCCATATTCCAAATGCTTTAAAAATCCTCCTTAAGTTCAAGAGAGCAAATAACTCAATATTATGGCTAAAACTAAATTTTTTTGTAATCTTAACCTTTTAATGCAATTGTTTATTCTGTAAGTATGTATTTTTTCAGTCAGTAAGAAAATCCTAAATGCATGCTTATTAACCCATATGATATTAGAAACAGGGCTATAAAACCCTAGAATAAGAGACACACTAACTAATGTAGGATTATGTATTTTCCTATGAGACCAAAAAAATTAATTTGTCACGAGATATGATGCTACATGACGCTAAGAGCATAAACACAAAAAAGTAGATGTATATATACATGGAAATGTAGTCAATTATATGAGCATGAACCTTATGGTAAGTGGTAATCTTCACTCTTGAACCAACTACAATGCTAGGATTAACAAGCAGCTATTTACCATTAATGACATTGTCTGTGCCTTGTCTAAACAACTTGCACTCAACAAATACCATTTATAAGAGTTCATTCCAGAATCATAGAACATCAATTTTTACATTTTACACTATGCATACACAATTTAAAATGTTTCATAATTGTTGTCTCCAGCATTCCGTTGCTGCTATAGATAAAAATAAATCTACTCTACAATTTTTAACAAAATTCAACAATTTATTTAGATACTGAAATTAGTCGGAGCTCGTGGCAAGAGAAAACGTGAAGAAATCCAAATAGTTGATGTCAATCAGAAAGAGGTACTTGGTGACTCACGAGAATGGTTGCTGAAGAGTCTAATGGACGACACTACCCGGCGAGTATCTTCTAGCAAGAAAAGGGGAAATGAACCTACTAATCAACAAAAAAGGAAACATCAGATCACATACTTGGCCCATCAGGTATTTTATGAACTAATATTTTAATTTAACATTAGTAAAAGATTTTTAATATCAAGAAACATCAAGCAAAATTAAACAAGCTGTGTCTCCTCAAAATGATATCTATGAAATACTTTGTTTTATTTTCACAGGCAAAAGCAAATGAAGCAGAGCTACAGAACCAATGGGCTAACAACAGAATGTCAAGAAGACAAACGCAATCCAAATATGGATTCTAGAAAAAAAAAACAAATATAACTATTATGAACAGTTGGAACATAAAAATAATAAAATATTTTGTATATGACAATTTTATTTTATTTTAACTATAATTTAATAAATATTTATTATATGATTTACAATCTCCTTGCTTTCCTTGCTCTTGGTGGATTCCATGACACATGTGTGTTATCTGTGATTGAAACTATATTCAAACCCCCCATTTGTAAGCCTTTGACTGCCGACTGAAAAAATTAGACATTCTTTTTGTGAGCATTATTCAATTCATATTAATTTCACAGTATAGGTAGTTTAAACTATTATTATTACTGCTTAATAATGCATGTAAAAGTAGTTTATTTATTTCTATGATGTCAAATATTTTAAAAAAATATTTAAAAATAGTTGAACCTTTTATGTCAGTAATTTGTATTATAGTGATTAGAAAAAGTCACATTCAGATGACTTTAGTTTTTTAGTTAAGGTTTTCTGGGCTTTTGCCTTTAGTCTAGAAAATATTAATTACCAGTCGCCCTGGTCCTAAGCCTTGGACTCTTACTCGTACAGTATTATATCCCTGGACAACAGCTTTCTGTAATGAAACACTAGTCATGATCACTAAATATCAAAAAGGCATATTCTGAAATAAAAAATCTAACAAAGCTTATAGTTATCTTGACTGTTTGCAGCAATATGGCTATGGACCTGCCTGTTATTGGCATCCTGGTTTTGGCACATTTTAGGTTTGTCCTATGTCTACCATTAACATGATGATAGGCTGCAATAACAACTCATAAATAATGGTTATATAAATACTGTTCTTTTTTCTTTAAGTTTTAAAATTTTTAACAATTAAGATCTTGACTTGCAAACTTTAGCCTGTTTATGAATTTTTATTTCTATAGTTGATAGCTATTATAAAATATGAATGTTCAACTTTACATACCGTTGCAATAGTTATTCCAGTAGTTTGAGCAGCAATGTTGGTTCCTTTTTTGGTGTTCTTGAATCCTTCCATGCCGCATGATCTTATGATTCTGACCTTGCCATCGGGTTCGGTTAATGTGAATATTGTATTGTTATGGCTAACACGGATATTGCATATCGGTAGATCCTTGTAGGGAATTCCATTATACAGTTGGTAATCTGATTCTAAGGTTGGGAATAAATTTTGTTTCCTGAAAGAAAAAATACTCACTTGTTTTTGTTTTATAATATAATGAGTAAAGTTTTTTTACTTACGTCTTCAGAGCAGAATCAAGATCAATGATCTTCTCTCCTTGGACTCCTTCGTCTGGAGCAGGAATACGTTTATGAACAAACTTTTCAGTAGCTTGAGGCGTACTCGTTTGGAACAATCTCACTACGCTTGTAACTGAAGCCCGTACAGAGTTTCTTAGCGCAGTAATCATTTTAAATTTAACTTTCTAACCTTTCACCAAAATCTTAAAACTCGGGCGATTAACATAGACAATGAACATAATATTTATTTTCCAAACCTGAGTCCTGACATATTTTATTTATAGATTACACTAACAACATATAAATTCAATGTATTGTCTACGTTAATAGCTATTCCATGCTTACATGGGACTTTTTGGCGGGAACGCGAGGAGTGAAGTTGTGTGATTTGTTTTATTTTGTCTATTTAGTGTTTCTTGAGGTTTAAATGTGTAATAATGGTGGTTTATTAACTGTTTGATATCTGTGAAAGTGCACAAATGTGGGAAAATAAAACAAAGCCGCTGGACGTAACTTCTCGGGATACTTCAAAAAGTGCATTGAAAAAATCTCAGTAAATGACCACCATTTTACTGAGATTATATTTCATTCCATATCATTTCATCTCATTTCATTTAATTTCATCCCAGTTGATTAATGTCTCAAATTAATCATCTTTATTTCATTTCATTTCTTCATAAAAATAACAATATAAATTTAAATAAGAGATGACTTAAAGGTCTTAGTTACCTGGTCATAAAAGTTCATAAAAAAACATGTTCACATTATGCCAAGATCATTTATTCTTTAAAAGGCAAGAGAATAAGAAAAGAACGAATTAAACAGCGGACGGTTAGCGTGGTATGGACATGTGATGCGTAGAGAGAAGATGCATGTGACTAGGAGATGTATGGAAATGGTAGTGTAAGGTAGAGGGGAAGAGGTCGACCGAAGAAGACATGGATGGAGTGTGTGAATGACGATATGAGAGAAAGAGGAGTGAGTGTTCAGATGACGGCTGATAGAAGAGAATGAAACCCTATACACATGTTATCAGACCCGCCTGATACACTGTCAATGATTTTTTTTTCAGACATTGAACATATTTAAAAAAAAATTAAATTAAAACTAAGACAAACAAAAACAAAAAAAAATGGATATTCAAATACTTACAAAAAACAATCAACAATATAAAAAAAGAGGCAAATGAATGTTTAATAAAAAACAAATGTGGTTGGTTTACAGCTCGGTGTCGATCACGGATCTTAAATTTATTTTAAGTGAGGCTAGAGAAGCGTAGCAAAAAAAATGACAATTTTACTTCGTTCATTGTTTGTCAGAAAAGTCATACGATAGGCACCCCAAGTACCGGTCATCGTTCTCGTCGAACTTGTCGAACAATCGACGTGCAACCTATGCCATAGACAGAGCCCACTGAGTTTCTCGCCGGATATTCTCAGTGGATCGCAACTCCGATCCGGTGCTAGATTCAGCGAGGCACCGCTCTTACTAAGTCTAATGATAGCAAAGTCTCTCAGGCTGAGTCCTACCTGCTGAGCTTGCCTATCAACCCAGAGAAGCTGGAATAGCCCTTCGAGGGTACCAGCGAATAGGCAGGGCGTAAAATAAGAATACAATAATTCGTATCCAAAAGAATTTATCATTCTGATAAACTTAGTTTATTTCAATTATCAATTTGCTGTCGCGCGTTAAAGCGCTCTTTTATAACTTTTAAAACTATTTTTAATCATTTAATATTAAAATAAAAATAAAACAATGCCATTTCATTAATCGATGATTTAATAATTTAAACAGAAATAAATAGGGCAACGTAATAATAATGTTTACATTGTTCACAATTGATTTAACAGATAGAACTTATTTCTTAAAGATATTCTTACAATACAGAACGGACTGAGAGAACCCTCGCAGGGGCGGCGGGACGCCATCAGCCATCAGACGGAGGTGCCCGGCCTCGGCCAGGTAGTTGGCCTTCAGCAGCTCTCGCGTGGCCCACGGCACGGAGTACGGCGCGTCCTCGGAGCCCCCCTCCCGGCTGATGATGTAGCTGAGCACTTTGGGGTACAGCGGAGTGCCGACCAGACTCACGAACAAGTCGTTGCGGAGCAACTCCGCGACCAGCTCATCGTCGATTTCTTGTTTCGCAACTTCTTCCTGCCGACCGACCAGTGTGCTTAGTACGAGATTTTTTAACGTTCTCGATAACGTAAAAGTTAACTCAAATTTGTGTGCAGTTGGAACGACGCCCCTGGCGACAAACGTAGGCAAACGTTCCAACTCCATACAAATTTGAGTTAACATTTACGATATCGAGAACGTTAAAAAAACTCGCTAGTTGAGGTTACAAATTAAAACTCGAACAGAGAGTCAAGTATTTGTATACCTCAAGCTCTTAGTATAAATAGATAGTGAGTAATATTGTATTTGAAATTTTGGAATAGTTAATAATAATACACAAATAGTAGTAATATGCAGTAGTATGAGTAGTTACTGGTTTAATCTTTCTCCTATTTAAAAAAAGTTTAGTTTACACTTTACAAAGTGGAACACACCGAGCATGGTTGGGGCGGCTCACCCAGCGGCGCCGAACGCTTCGGGATATGAGGTCGACATCTCTATGCATTATGTACTACTGACTCGCCTTACAAATCATCTGAAACTGTACATCGGCAGGGCATTTCGCGGTCGCACGAGAGGAATGAGCGCTGAATACCTTGTGCTGTTGCAATATGTTCAGTATCTCTTCTTTGGAATGTTGATATTTACTGAGCAAGAGAATCCAGATGGCGTTCACGACTGCGTCCGGGGCGACGTCGTCGATCAGCCATTTAATTTCCTACAATAAGCCCAATATAAGGTTAGTAAATGTGTAGGTACGTAGGGCTCCGACATCCGTTGTCCGCGCGCTTCTCCGGGGTCTGGTGAGTGCCCCATTGCAGAGATTCTTTTTATCGGTTCCGGTGAGTGATTAGACAATATTTTGTTAAAAAAGTACAGTAGGCGCGCGAGTTCATGTCCATCCTGAGGAATGCGGTAGTGCTGTGACCTAGTTAATTACGGTAATGTCGATAATAACTACCGATTTATTCAAGAGCTGTCAATTTGGTTTAATGTAACTTGGTAATTTTGCAAATTATAAAATAAATGTGATAAGTAATTACTTATTTATCTGTAAAAGAGAAAAATATTTTTTAAATTCCAATTCAATTACTATCAGATGAAAAGACAACCGACAGATCAGAGTCCGAATCAGTATAGGTTTTTTTCTACCTGAACTTGTTGGAGGCGGAGTAGTCATGGTTTATTCACCATGAAATAACACAATAGCGTTAGCGTAAATTTTCGGTATCGATAAGCGCGCGTCACAACCGTCAAGGACAACACTAGACATCATTAGGTCATGAACGATCTTATAACATACAAAGGATTTGGGTTCCAAAAATGAAGAAAGGAGAAAATAAATAGATAAATTATTAAAAAAATAACATAATGAAATATAAACTACACATAAAATCTTTTTGTAAATCTACACAACTATCCAATCAAGGGGGGTGGCAGTATTCACAACATGATGCCTACGGGCTCTTTGAATCATTTAACATCGGGTGGGCCGTAAACCTGTTCATCTGCCTACGCAATAAAAAAATATAGTGACTATCTGCGATTTAAAAAAAAATGTTTATCGGTTTTATGTCTGTTTGTTTGTCTGAGCCGGCGCCACTGTCGGGGTACCTGCTCGCTGAGGACGGGCCGGCTGAGCAGCGCCTTGATGAGCTCCAAGCTCTCCTTGCTGTCCAGAGGGTTCGTCAGCAGCGCGTACAGGTACTCGCACTGCAGACTCGCCGACTCGCTGCACCGACAAACAATTCATTCAACATTATCTGCATATAAAACTTTCATAACAGATATGGAAAAACGAGAATAAACTTTTTTTACTGGAATTTTTTACTGAAATTGTTTTACTGGTTGTAGGACTTCTTGTGAGTCCGTGCGGGTAAGTACCACCACCGTGCCTATTTCTGCCGTGAAGCAGTAATGCGTTTCGGTTTGAAGGGTAGGGCAGTCGTTGTAACTATACTGAGACATTAAAACTTATATCTCAAGGTGGGTGGCACATTTACGTTGTAGATGTCTTTGGGCTTTAGTAACCACATAACACCAGGTGGGCTGTGAGCTCGTCCACTCATCTAAGCAATAAAAAAAAGAACTTGTCATCTTCGAAGGCAGATTGCTGTCGACGAGAGATCACCGCTATTGTCGCTGTTGGACATCAGCAGCGGCACAATCAAGCCGATGTCAAACGGTTAGGATTATTTTCAAACTTCATTTGTAGAAGCACAGAAAAACTGTGGAGGGTTCAATTCGGAGTTGAATAGGATAGAATTTTAATGGACTTCGAACAACCGTATGTAATTATGGAATTAAAATTGTTATTAATCTATTTTTGAGTTGTAATGGAGTCATCTCTAACTTCTGTGACGTAGCGATATCTATCGGCTACGATTTGGATCCAACATTTCTTTTTAGTAAGCAGTTAATTTATTAAGTCTGTAGTCAATCAAATTAACGGAAACCTTTACCTGGAAGTAGTCGGAGGCCAGCAGTTCAGCACGTCGACCAGAGCCTTCCTCTGTTGCCAAGTGTCGGACTCCTCAAGAAACTTCTCGAATAATTCACGTCGACCTTCTTCACTCGCCAATGCCTCCTCTGAAAATCATTTTCGAATCGTCATAAATCGCTAATGAATTATATTTGTTACTTTAGCGTTGCCTGTTCCATCTCTAAATTAGGTAACAACATTCTGATCTATGCTACTTACAAACGAAGTATTTCTTTTTTGTTAATGTTTTTTTTTGTTGTTGAGACTGTCAACGATTTGCCAGAAGGTTCTTGGTTACTTTGGTCACATTGCTCGGCGGCCATCAGACAAACTTGAAAAATTGACTGTGGTGGGCAAGGTAGAAGGGAAAAGACCCGCCGGCCGGCCACCAAACCGTTGGTCGGATCAGATAACTGCGCTCACTGGACTCTCTGTTGCGACCGCCCTGAGAGAAGCCGAAAACCGAAGGAAATGGAAGCTGATGGTACAAAGAGCCACGAAGGGCTTTCAGAGACACGACCTTCAACAATGGAATGGGCTATGGAATGAGCTCCCCTCCACGGTGTTTCCCGAGCGCTATGACTTGTCCTTCTTCAAACGAGGCCTGTGGAGAGTATTAAGCGGTAAGCAGCGGCTTGGCTTTGCCCCTGGCAATCAGGTGGGCCGTATGCTCGTCTGCCTACAAGGGCAATAAAAAAAATGAAGTATGCGACTAAGAAGAAGAACATAGTCGTGAATAAACAGCAGAGTATTGATGAGACCTGTGACGGCGGCGGCGCGGTGCGGCCAGTGCTCGCGCAGCAGGTCGGCGCCGCAGCGCAGGCCGCGCCTGCCGCCGCGCTCGCCCGACAGCGCCAGCACGCCCGCCAGCCGGTGCGGCGCCAGCCCCAGCGCCGCCACGCTCTGCACCACCTCGTCCAGCACATCCGGGGGGAGCTTCACGCCCTCCTTGTGGTACTGCACGACGCGCTCCACTAGGATCTGCGCCTCACTGATTAACGGAAATTTTAGAAAACTAAATGAGCCTAAAAACTACTTCACAACTTAATAACAACACCATATTATTATATCAATATTCAAAAGCCACTATACACTTGCCCCCAATATCTTGGTCGTCTGACAATGGATGGATTGTGATTTTGATCTCGCGTTTATTTGTTTCCGATCTTTGCCGCAAAGTTGACGTGGAAATATCGTTCGAAATGAAAACAATAAGCGGCGAGATTAGGCCGTACAAGTAAGTAGTCTTTAGTTTAATTATTTAACGAGCTTAATGTGGTGAATGGTCGACGTTTATCGTGTATGTAGTGGGCGTACCTCTGGTCGGCGAGTGCTTGCGCGGCGGCGCGCAGCACGTGCGCAGGCGGCGCGGGCACGTGCAGACACTGCAGCAGCGGTGCCAGCGGGGGCGCGCGGCCCGCCCCGCCCCGCAGCACCAGCCGCGCCAGCCCCGACACCACGCGCTCCGCGTCACCGTGACTCTTCTCTATCTCACTGACACATACGACGGAAGGTCTTAGTTTATAGGTACTACGTTTAACAGGCAAATGGCCAAAAATTTAGACTAAATCAATTATTCTACCCCTGTACAACAAGTTCTACTATGATTTTTAGTAATTACAGGACACTGACTCTGGCTCTTTCACAGCAACAAAATCCTCCTGTATATCATTAATAACCGCTTCAAGTTTAGTTACAGCTGGACTGGTCGATTCAGAGTCGAACAAGATTTTATACGTCTGGGCTCAGTTATACCTAGAAACGGATCGTGTGAGAGGGATACTAGGGGCGGACTGGTATGGTGGTATGGCAAAAAGTGCTACAGTCCAAATAGACCGGGTATGGACTGACCGAAATCTTTCGCGAAAGAACAAGAATTATCAGCTCATCACTTCGCTCGTCTTCTCCAATTTTTTTTACGGTGCAGAGATGGACCCTCGGGAAAGACGACCGCCAACACATCGAAGCGTCCAATATGTGATGCTGGAGGAAAATGCTCAGGATTCATTGGACAGAACATCGAACCAACGAATCCATTATAGCACCATATGCACGCGGAAAAGTTTTGAGTTCTTTGGACATATTGCCAGAAACTGAGAACACATTTAGATAATATGAAGGCCCAGAATCAAGTACGGTCTATCCTCAACACCTTGGTCCACCATGTTATCCACGGAGCTAAGCATAGACCGAGTTGGCGCAAAATGTTTCCAGAGAGACCATAACTCTGAGCATTGAGAATTAGCGACGCAGGGGGGAGGACCCTATTTTCCTAACTAAACTCTCCCAGATTTTCCAGACACACTGGACAGCAGTACTCACGGCCAAATCGTATCCCGGGGCACGTCCGTGGAGTCGATGATGGCCTGCACGCTGGACGAGTGGAAGTTCTCCAGGAAGCGAGCCCAGCGCGTCAGCTCCTGTCCTACTTGCGCCCATGTTTGTTCGCTAAACACAACAATTCTTAATTCATTTATTTCTGTGTCTTCGCTTAATACAGTAAAGTGGGGGGTTAGAGACTAGAGGAAGAATAGGGACAAATCTGAGATGTCACAATACTTTTGTCGGGTTGTTAGAGATTTAACTTTGTTGAACTTTATCTTAACGCATTGTAAATGAAAAATTAAACTACCGGAACCATGATGATCTCCGTTTTATTACTATAACTATAAAAAGAAAGATAAAAATCAACGTCGAACTTAAAAATTGTCCCGGCTCCCCCCGTTTTACGGTACGCGAGTCGGTTATGTGATAATAATACTACACAACTACATCGGAATTGCACTTCCTACCTCTTGTTCGACTTGTGATCGTTCTCCTGCTCTTGCTGGCAGTAATCGACCGCTTGTAGTATCATCAGGCTACGAGTACCGGCAGGAACGCTGTAAGGAACAACTTTTTATAAACAACCATTTAAAATTTAGCATTATCCGTATCCAGCGGTTGTGTGATTAAAAACTGATTTGTGGTTAAATCGCGAATAACGGAATGTTCAATCTTGAAGGCTCCGTATCATTTTTGAAGTTAAACTTCTTTAGGCGCGTTATGAAAAATTGATGAGTGAAATTTTACGATGCGCGCGCACCGTGACACAAAATTAACAGAATGAAGCTCATTACAATAGAACCGACGTAACTTGGGGAGTCTGAATATAGCCGCAAGTGAACTTTCGCGCATGTACACTCGTAAAAAAAAGTGTTATTAGCGTTCTTTTTTTTTTTAATATATTTATATAATATATTTTATGTAATATATAATATAATTCATACGAAATATTATTAAATTATTAACGTTAAATATTTATTATTAATTATTTAATATTTAAAAAAATAAAATAAAAATAAAGTATAACTTCTTACGCGCGTACATAAGTACACGCACCCTTTTTTTGTGTCAAATTCATTTCAATCGCATATCAAAACTTGGCTAATAGAACAGCCCAAGACATCCATATGAAGACTCTCACTTATGATGGTAAAGACAATGAGCTTTAAGCTAAAAGGGATATTTATGTATAGAAGGTATCCGTTTGCCAACCACTGACCGTTGAACCGCATCATCAGAGAAGCAAGTGTCGGCCACAAACTGCAGGAGATCCTCTTTGGAGAGCTTGTTGAAGTAACTCGAGCATTGTCTGTATTGTTGCATCCACTTCTTGTTGGTCGCGTTCGAAGGGACCTGTGCGGGGCAAATGTTTGGTTTAATCAATAATTTATTTAATTTCATTTACAAAAAATTAAAATAAGACTTGACCTGAAAGTCTTAGTTACCAGGTCATAAAATTAATTTAAATTTTTACGGATGTTCCGTTATAACTACTGAACCATGCATCCGATTGACTTGAAACTTGGTATCCATGTAGAAAATACATGTACTTAATGGATGGAATATTTAGGAGTGTTGAACTCCCTACACTAGTTGCGGGAGCGTTAATGATAAGAATCTTTGTGAGGGTGAAAAATAATAATGTTAATTTTAAATGCCCAGCGAAGCGGACGGGTACAGCTAGTTTTTTATGATATGATTTCGTATAAGGACAAACATGATTAGCGCATCACAAGAAAAAAAGAAGAGTTCATTAGACAAAAAAAGTCTTACGCTAAAAAAATGTTTGGTGAGCCACTTCGTGTAGATGCTGTTGATGGAGATGGGCGTCTTGAAGGCGGGCGGCAGCGTCCTGAGGAACTTGCCGACGATGCCCACGTTCTCCGGCCTCATGATGTCCACCACGTGCGCAGACAGACGCTCCGCCGCGCCCGGCTCCAGCAGCAGCTTGTAGTCCAGCTCTGTGCCGCACGCACGCACTCTCACTCACTCGAACTCACATCAACGTAACCCATCAAAAAGGTCAATAGCACTGCATTACTCATTTATTACTGGTGGTAGGCCTCTTGTGAATCCGTACGGGTGGGTACCACCACCCTGCCATTTCTGCCGTGAAGCAGTAATGCGTTTCGGTTTGAAGGGTGGGGCAGCCGTTGTAACTATACTTGAGACCTTAGAACTTATATCTCAAGGTGGGTGGCTCATTTACGTTATAGATGTCTATGGGTTCCAATAACCACTTAACACCAGGTGGGCTGTGAGCTCGTCCATCCATCTAAGCAATTTTGTTTTTTTTAATTGTATATTTGTCTCTCTTTAGTGTCGCTTTTTCGTTTCATCACGTCCCAAATCGGAAAGACGCTAAAGAAGTTTTGTGAAGTGAATAGAACGACTCGAAGTCCGACTCAATCCCGAGACTATCCTGTACAGTTACCTGGGGAAGCAGCTTTGGCTTTCTTGAGCAGCTTGATGTGCTCCATGACGGTCATTCCGAAGAGCACTTGTTTCTCATCGATCCCTTTCAGCAGCGTGAAGAAGTTAATGAGCGAGCTGTGGTCGTCGCCGCGGAGCTGCGGCCAGAGCACTTCTCGTATACTGTAACCAAGTACCTCTACTCAGTAGTAGTACCATAGATTATACACGGACTTTTTGGCGGGAACGCGAGGAGTGAAGTTGTGTGATTTGTTTTATTTTGTCTATTCAGTGTTTCTTCAGGTTTAAATGTGTAATAACGGTGGTTTATTAACTATTTAGTATCTGTGAAAGTCCACATATGTGGGAAAATAAAACAAAGCCGTTGGACGTAACTTCTCGGGATCCTATAAAAGGTCAACTGAAAAAGTCTCAGTAAAACGACCACCATTTTACTGGGATTATACATTCATCCCATATCATCTCATCTCATCTCATCTCATTTCATTTCATCCCATTTGATTAATGTCTTAAATTAATCATCTTCATTTCATTTCACTCCCTGTTCCATGTATTCATAAATTATTTTTCATAAAAATCAATAATACTAATTAAAATAAGACATTACTTAAAGGTCTTAGTTACCAGTTCATAAGATCCCTTAAAAAAATCTACTCGGCACACACAACAGAATTTGTCGAATTTGGCAGACTTCAACATTTTATTGATCTCCTCTTGTTTTGTTTGTCAAGGGGATACAGCTGGTACCCTGAGGGCGCCGGTCAGTGAATCAGCGACGAGATATAATACAGCACTCCATAAGCTTCAATTTCGTGTGTTGTTTGTAACGGTTTATTAGTAGTTTAATAATGACGACGACGTCTATGTTGTGTGGTGACCTCATCAGCGAGCCTGCGCGTGTGCGTTGTGAGATTGTGAAAGCCATCGTACCCCTTAAATCTACTGTGAAGTCATCCCGCGTTCTGGTTTGAAGTAAGGGACGCGTTCTACAATCCAGTAATATTTTTTATCTACATATCCGCCAGTAACTTGGGGGGGGGGGGGATTCTGGCTTCACCATAACCGATGGGCTCACGGGGCTCAGCTTGAAAGATTTTGCCAATATCTGCCTAACCGAAATTTATGCTTCACAGTGGATGATAGCAATGCCGTTGTAATGTCCACGGGCACTGCCATAACACCAAGTGGGGAGTGGATCGTCCCCCCTCGAGCGCGGACTAAGTGCCGTAGCGGCGGCGGTACCGGTTGTAGGCGGCGAGGTCGGCGGTGAGGCGGGCGGCGAGGCGGGGGGGCGCGGCGACGCGGCCCGCGGTCCCCGCGTGCGCGAGCCACATCTCCAACGCGTCCAGCCCGTACTTGTCCGCTAGAGAACACGCCACCTCCACGTGCTTCTTCTCCTTAGACCTGCAGCACGGACCACTAATTCCAGTCTCCAATATCGACACGACAATTATCATAAAGATAACATTCTAATAAAACAGTGAAGAATGTAGCACGCCATCACTACAATACAACTTTAAAAAAAAATTGTATGCGTACAAAGTACACATGTCAGAAGTGAAACTTCTTTGGCAGACAATTTTTTATATTTATAATTATAGTAAAATCTCAGATAATGAATATTATTGTGGCGAGTAGCCATCATACAATACAAGATAATTGACAAATGCCTGAATCTGACATTTTCAACATAAGCGTGCATATATACAAGTTCTGAACAACAACATCCGGACCGTCGATCTACCGAGCAATATCACCCGCCCGGCGGAAGATCTTCCCTTTGTCGTTAAACATCCCACAATTGGACAAAGACGTCCTACATTTCCGTGTCACTAATATTATTATTATTGCGTGTAATACGTAAAATTTTTACCCTCGGGCGCGCAGAGAAGTTTCACTTCAAAAACAGGTGTACTGCGAGCCCTTACGGATCACGCAATTTTTCATTGTGCAGACTACTATACTGTGTATTATGCTTTTATAAATGCGCCAAAAATATATTTTGTAAATATGCTGAGGAAATATCAAGGGAAATAAGAATTTAAAATAGAGAGTAGTATCGGAGAACGCCTTCTGTTAGTAGCAGTACTGACCCGGCGAGCCTGTAGATGAGCTCCCGCCTGTACTCGTCGTCGACGTTGAAGAGGAGCCCGTTGACCGCGACGCCGAGGTTGCGCAGCGCGGCCACCTCGCCCATGCCGGTCAGCTTGTCGACGCACTCGTTGATCACCTTCAGCTGCACTTCCGAAGCGTTCTTCTGCTTCAAAGTCATCCTGGCCATCTGGAAAATAACGCACGTTTAACTCTCGATATTGTAATTGAAAATCCAAAACTGCATTCATTGTCATTCTAATTCTAAAATATCTATATATTAATATGTGAAGCAAAAACTTTGTACCCCTTTTTACGAAAATTGCGTGGACAGAAAATACAGAGGAATGTAAATTTTTTTTATTGTGTATAAAAATATATATTAAATCAATAAAAATAAAAAATTACCCACACTATGAGACTACCATGTTTTTAACACAACACATATATATACATTAATATTATTTGTCTATAGCTTAGTCTTGGCGAAATCTGTGAGTAAAGAATCTTCAAACTTATAATTTCAATTAATTTCGAATTTCGACTACTAGGGGGACCACTAGTTTCTATAATAATAGTAATTAACAAAAAAATGTGTGCGTGTACTAGTGTACACACGTAAGAAGTGAAACTTGTTTATGGCCTTATTTTTCGAAAAATGATCTACATGCAACTTTCTAGAAATTGGTTAAATAAAGTTAAATTAGATAAAGTTTAAACAAAAGGATTTTATTATCATAGACATGAATACAAATAATACAATTATTTCACTTTACCTTTTTGCTACTAAGATTATTACAGCATTTTAATAATACATCTCTTTGATATCATAATACCCTGGTACTTTTCTTCCTATAAATTAATAATAATAGCACGGTCCACGTGGTGTTAAATGGGGTTCCTGAGGTTCGTGAAGTTTGACCCACCTTGAGACATGAGGTCGATTTCTCAAATCCGAAACCATGCTTCAGAACATACCGCCGTTAATTATTAATAAATCTCTTTGCTATCATAATACCCTGGTACTTTTCTTCCTATTATTTTACGTAATAACAGTAATAAATAGCACGGTCCACGTGATATTATTAAGTGGGCTCCCTGAGATTATTGGAATTACAAAATGATTTCCGTAATCCACCTGGAGACATGAGGTCAATTTCTCAAATCGGAATCCATACTTCAGAACATACAGCCGTTAATTAATAAAGAAGGCTGTACGTCAGAGTAAAGTTATAATAATACATCTCTTTGATATCATAATACCCTGGTACTTTTCTTCCTATTATTTTACGTAATAACAATAATAGCACGGTCCACGTGATATTAAGTGGGTTACCTGGGATTATTGCAATTACAAAATGTATTCCGTGACCCACCTTGAGACATGAGGTCGGTTTCTCAAATGCGCATCCATACTTCAGAACATACAGCCGTTAATTAAAAGATGGCGCGTAACGGAAAAATGTGACGCGTAACCGAAAAACGTGACGGTAAATTTTTTTCCAACGCCGATAAGGAAGTTTCAGTTCAAAAATTTTTTTTTGGTATTTTAATTATTTGAAATTGACAGATTTCAATCCAGAGACTGATCATTTAATAATTGAATCATTTATGACCCGCTTATCGCTAACGGGCCGGTTCGTCGACTACTGACTTTGGTCGGCTTGGTCAAGTACACGTCGTCCCGGAGCGCGGCTGAGTTGCAGTGCACGAGCGTCGCGTACAGCGCGCAGCTGACGGCCGCGTCCGTGTGCTGACTCTCCAAGAACTTCTTCGTCACGTCGTACTCCTGAGTGGACCGCAGCAGGCAGGCCACGCTCAACGGCGTGTCTCTGTACAGCAGCTCTTCCCCGCACTTCTGGACCACTGCAATATCACGAGGTTCGACAGTGTCATTACTGCACAAAGTTGTCTTGTTGTCTTGTAAAATCGAAATTGGTGGTAGGACCTCTTGAGAGTCCGCACGGGTAGGTACCACCGCCCTGCCTATTTCTGCCGTGAAGCAGTAATGCGTTTCGGTTTGAAGGGCGGGGCAGCCGTTGTAACTATATTTGAGACCTTAAAACTGATATCTCAAGGTGGGTGGCGCATTTACGTTATAGATGTCTATGGGCTCCAGTAACCACTTAACACTAGGTGGACTGTGAGCTCGTCCACCCACCTAAGCAATAAAAAATAAATAAATAAAAGCTATCGTAGCGTACGGAAGGCCATTCCGAACTCGTCTTGATCTTGTTGATATCGATCGATAATAATTTGTCTAATAAGGACAGCCGACCAATTAATTACATTTAAAAAACAAAATTCGTTTCTGTTTATTACAACATTATATTTTCTTTTAAGAAATAAATATTTGTGAGATAAACAAAAGAGCAAAAAAATTTCTGAACTGTTTAATCTGCATGTCAACCCATGACAACTCATTTAAAGTTTACAAGAGCCCATGGATATAAAATCACATCATGATTGTCACCGTTCGTCTTGATGTATGAAGTCGAAGTGTGAAGCAGTTGTATAGAAAAAGTTTGGTCAAAACTCACATTCGGCCTCTAGTTGCGCCGTGTATCCGTGTTCGAGACAGTTCTGTATGTAGTAGGCGGAGAGCAGCGCATGCGCAGTGCCGGTCGGGCGCTCCACCGCGAACCGGCCGTACGAGTAGTGTCCCCCATCGCCCCCCGCGGGCGCCCCATCACCCCCCGCAGGCGCCCCGTCACCCCCCGCGCGCGCCCCGCCCCCGTACACACGCGCGTACCACTCCGGGTAGCGCACCTCCGCGCTCTCCGGACTCGACTTCTCACTGGATTTATTACAAACAACTTCACATTTGTCACAAAATTGAAATTGAATTGAAACTTTAAGTTCCTAACCACTATTGTTGTCATTATTTAATGGACTGACAATTAATTTTTAGGTAGTTGTAATTCTTTAAAAATATTGTCCTTTAAGTTATAATTATTCAAAGAAGTCATACTGCTTTAAAATATTATAAGCTATGTAATTATTTTTTATGAATATTAAGTTAAATATACCAATTACTATCGAATTATATCAAAGAAGTATAACTTCTTTCGTGGGTACAGTAATACGGTTTTTGACGTAGTGCTAATGAGTCTAAAATTAATCTTTATTTTTTTACACCAATATTTAAAAAACTCCTTTAAAGCATTACATGTCAAACACTTATTTATTGGTTGTCAACAATCCGGTGTTAAAATTGTTAATTTATTAATTTAAGCCCCACCTTATATCGTACTTATATTGAAACGTGTTCAGGACATAATTCCTTGGTGGCTTCTTGTCTTTAGTGGTGGGCACGATATCTTTCCTCTCGATCACCGGCTGTAACAACACATAGCAGAGTACATTAGCTCTCAGCAGTGATGGATTTACGGCGGGCCTGGGGCGCCATGATTTGAGCGGCGGCAAAATTTTTAAAATGCCAATATTTCAGAGACGAAGAGAGACAGTCAGTCTCCTTTGATTTTTTTGTTATTTCTTTGTAAGCAGACGAGCATGTGACCCACCTGATGGTGAGCGGTTTCCGTCGCCCATGGACTTCATTAATGTCAGGGGCAGGGCCAAGTTGCTGCCTACCGTTAAGTTACGTACGTTAAGTACTTAATTGCATCAAAATTAATAAAATTGATTCTAATATTAAGGCCGCCCTTCAAGTCTAAATCCGTCACTGGCTCTTAGAGACGGAACAAGGGGAGGTGGCTCCCTCGCTTGACCCCGCTATATCAGAATGGCACTAACGCGCGGACGCGGACACGGCCGCCTAATCAATATCGTCAAAGTCACTGCACATCTTTTGTGTAATTAATTCATGTTCTCCCCGTGTTCAGTTTTGTCATTTTAGTGATTCAGTACCCCACTATGTTACTATTTATTTTCTTCTGAGTGTATTACTTTTAGTAAAAGAAATGTACTTCTATATTCAAGTATTTTAATCCATCTCACTTTCAAATAAATCAATTCGATAACCATAGTCCACAAATCAGAAAAAGGACAGGACACTTTTCCAAGAAATAAAATTGTATAGTTATGCACAAATTGTAGTGGTTGGCTTTTATATTTATGAAGTATGTTAATCGCTTACAGTTTTGTTCTAGTTGACAATAAATGTGTTTATGAAAGTAGCCGCAGTTCCAACCGGTCGCTTTGCAAGTCTACAGGTAAGCGATGGACTTTAGTCGATGTGATGATCACACGTATACGCACAGTTGTTATGGCGTCGGCGAACTCGTCGTCTGTGGAGGGCCATCGGTCGGTCAGGAACTGCTGCTCCCTTACGAACACGCCGGTCTGCTGGAGACTCTCCAACTCCAAGCTCAACCTGAACAGATTTATTACTTTAAGCTTTCGCGGCTATTTACAGTACACGAAATGTTATTTAGCCGGTCCTGACTGCGGGTAGGACGTTAGGAGCAGAAATATCTGCCTACCTTATTTATTTATTTTTTGTTACCACTGAAACTGTACGACTCATCCCGACAAGGCGCAGTCTGTCAACACGCTGGTCTCATCAATGGGATATGCATAATATAATATGCGCATAATATAACTCATAAAATAAAAAAAGTCACAGTAAGAATCCGTTAAATAATAATGTGTAGATGAATTATATACAACGAATGAGCAAATTGTTACAGAAGTCTAGTACGAGCAGATCTGTCTGAAGACATACTGTTGACATCGAAGGTCGTGCTGTTTAAGCAGCTTGGTTGTATGACATTCACCGTCAAATAAACAAACTTATTATTTCAAAATGTTTAAGACACATAATGTTAGTATGTGTGGGGGTGATTTCAAATTCACAACGGACCGCTACCAGTAGTAGTTAGTAAGTTGAAGNCGCAGCGCCGCCAGACGCGCGCCCGCCTCCGCCGCCGCGCCCGCACCTGCTGCGCCCGCCTCCAGCGCGTACTTGCCGATCAGCGACAGTACTTCACCCTCGCTGAAACCATCGATACCTCATCGCAAAACATATCTTGTCGATTCAAAAACAATAGACAACTTATTATACAGAAAATAATATTACAATAAATAAAAAATTGATGCTTTTTTTCAGTAATGTAAGTAATAAATTAAAAATGTGTTTTTAGTTTATCAACAATGATCGCATCAAAACTGACATTTGAGTCGTAGATAGAGTGTATCAAAATGTTCACTAAAGTATCTGTTTGAATAAAGTCAATGACGACGTTTGAGGGCAAACAAAAATCAAAAATATTTAATTAAAAATATTGATAATTAAAACTAAAGTTCCAATGGCCACTGAGCGTTTAAGGACGTGACAAGCGCGCTCACCGAGTGTGCTCGTCGTCTCCGGCCACCCTCAGCAGCGTGGCCAGCTTCAGCAGCTTGGGGCCCGCCAGGTACCCGTTCAGGTCCAGCCTCAGGCACTGCTCGACCAGAGACAGTCTGTCTTCGCACAAACGTACTGCAATTTATTATTAACAAATTGAAACTTCAAAGTTTCAAAACGCTTACTGACCTTTGTCATCAATAATTTGCTTTTTAAATATAAAATCTCCCCCTGCATTAAAAAAAAATTGTGTGCGTGTGCAAGTCACACACGGTAGAAGTAAATCTTATAAAAAATAAAAATAATCGCGAGGGTCAACCACTCCGCAGTGCAATGGAGCAGTCTCACCCTGGGGGAACCGCTTGCATGGTAGCGCCCTCTGTGAATTGATATTTTAACTTCACGTATAATGTGTTCTATCTCATTCTCTCGTTGGCTGAATCCTATACATGTCTCTATGGACTTATTTTTTCGTTTCATCGAATTTGAAAACACAACGGAATCGTTGTGATTTCAAACTTTTAGAATCTAAAGAAGTTTCACTTCAGAAATGAACTATTATGCTTTTCAATTAATGAAGATTATTTATTTCAGAAACAAGTCCATATGTGTACATAGAATCATTGAAATATATAAAAAATTACCGAAAACTAATAAAAAAGTGTACATATGATTAAAAATAATTATCAGATTGTTTTACTAATTTTCCAATTCGAATAAAGTATTCGCAGTCATGTGCGAATATTCCAGAAAACTCAGACATCCGAGTCGCGACACATGCCCCCCTCAGTAAGGGTTAACATGCACGGTACACGGCCTACACACATCCTCTAGATTATAAGTCGCCGCTTTACTCTATTTTAAGTGGAACCAAATATTTAATGCCTGTATATTTAGTCAATGTTGAATGACTTCACCCGTAGGAAGCAAGAATATGTTTACCTTGTATGGGCAGTAGCGGGACCTCAAACGAATTGAGTATTTGAAATGACGAGATCAGATCCAGCTCTTCTTCGATTTTCTTTACATTTTTTTCTTTTATCAGCATTAGACACGTCCTGAGGATGATGGAAATAATGTATTCACTGAAGACGGTCGTGCGCCAAGCAATAGGAGCTTTTAAACTTAACACAGTTCGGTAGGAGAGTACCCGGGGAGTCTCCCCGGACAATCCATAGACAACGTCACTGCGCCTATGTGCCGTATTGTTATGCAGACTTGCGGCAAAAATGGATTGCGGTACCAAGCCGGGACGGTAATACATAAAATGTCTCCTGAAGATTATTTCTTCTAGAAACCTTTAATAATAGTCATATACAAGCAATGAATACAATATAAATATACTTTTTATAAACCAATTACGCAAAATCGTTCTAAATTAATTTTTATATACTATAAGATTTTTACTGGTGGTAAAACCTCTTGTGAGTCCGCACGGGTAGATACCACCAACCTGCCTATTTCTGCCGTGAAGCATTAATGCGTTTCGGTTTGAAGGGTGGAGCCGTTGTAACTATACTGAGACCTTAAAACTTATATCTCAAGGTGGGTGGCGCATTTACGTTGTAGATGTCTATGGGCTCCAGTAACCATTTAACACCAGGTGAGCTGTGAGCTCGTCTACCCATCTAAGCAATAAAAAGATAAAGTAGGAATTAACCTGGCAATATCGAGAGCGGGATCCTCGAGTCCTGATGCGGAGTTGACGTACTCAGTGGCGGCGGCCAGCACCAGCTCCAAGGCCTTAGGGTACGGCACCTTCCGGCTGTCCCCCCGCGCCGACTTCGAGCAGTTCATGACGTCGGCCGCCAGCCGGACGCTGGGCGAGTGTCCCGACGTTAGTAACGACGTGGCGTAGATCTGAGGAGGCGTCATGTATTAGACTTCAAAATAATCCACAACATTACAGGAATAAGGTCGGATATTAAATAGCTCTGATCCAAAATACACAAAACAAGCTGCACTTGTATAAAGTTACACTCTATGTATAATGCAGTAGTGTTCACAATCGCTCGCAGGCCTGCTTCACAGTCTTGCAAAGCTGCCTCACTGACACACTGGATACTATTGTGAAATATAGGACTAAACAGAAAATAATTTTCTGTTTGGTCGATCCTCTATTGTCTTTTGTCCGAGATTTTCTACATAAGGAAGATTTCTTTCATTATGAAAAATTCACTTATTATCATATTTTTTTTGTATTATTTAGATGGGTTGACGAGATCAAGGCCCACCTCGTGTTAAGTGGTTACTGGAGTCCATAGACATCTACAACGTAAATGCGCCACCCACCTTGAGATATAAGTTCTAAAGTTTCAGTATAGTCTTCAAAAAATACGCATTACTGCTTCACAGTAGACATAGGCGGGGTGGTGATACTACCTACCCGCGCGGACTCACAAGAGATCCTACTACCAGTAAGATTAATACCTAATACCTAATACCTACCACCAGTAAGTTAATATTACTTATAAATATCTTACTTCATAGCATTCTGTCTTACTGATGCAGGTGAATAAAGATGATTGTAAATTCAATATGTCTTTCAATAGTTTCTCCCAATCTTGCGCAGTTGGTTTTTCTTCACTGAAATTTAATAAAACATTAAATATACATGCGGAATTAAGTTTTTGTTATTGAAGTTTGAGACGGCAAGACGCTGCCTACCGTGGGTATTTTAAATAAAGGTAAGTGAGGAGTGTGAGTGTGATGAGCAGTACTCACACGGCGGGCAGGGCCCTGGCGAGGCGCAGCAGCAGCGCGTGCGCCTGGTCGCGGTGCGGCGCCAGGTCCCGCAGCGCGCCGCCCGACACGCGCACGCCGCGCGCCGCCAGCGCCGCCCAGCCGCCGCACGCGCGCCGCACCNTCCGGCTGTCCCCCCGCGCCGACTTCGAGCAGTTCATGACGTCGGCCGCCAGCCGGACGCTGGGCGAGTGTCCCGACGTTAGTAACGACGTGGCGTAGATCTGAGGAGGCGTCATGTATTAGACTTCAAAATAATCCACAACATTACAGGAATAAGGTCGGATATTAAATAGCTCTGATCCAAAATACACAAAACAAGCTGCACTTGTATAAAGTTACACTCTATGTATAATGCAGTAGTGTTCACAATCGCTCGCAGGCCTGCTTCACAGTCTTGCAAAGCTGCCTCACTGACACACTGGATACTATTGTGAAATATAGGACTAAACAGAAAATAATTTTCTGTTTGGTCGATCCTCTATTGTCTTTTGTCCGAGATTTTCTACATAAGGAAGATTTCTTTCATTATGAAAAATTCACTTATTATCATATTTTTTTTGTATTATTTAGATGGGTTGACGAGATCAAGGCCCACCTCGTGTTAAGTGGTTACTGGAGTCCATAGACATCTACAACGTAAATGCGCCACCCACCTTGAGATATAAGTTCTAAAGTTTCAGTATAGTCTTCAAAAAATACGCATTACTGCTTCACAGTAGACATAGGCGGGGTGGTGATACTACCTACCCGCGCGGACTCACAAGAGATCCTACTACCAGTAAGATTAATACCTAATACCTAATACCTACCACCAGTAAGTTAATATTACTTATAAATATCTTACTTCATAGCATTCTGTCTTACTGATGCAGGTGAATAAAGATGATTGTAAATTCAATATGTCTTTCAATAGTTTCTCCCAATCTTGCGCAGTTGGTTTTTCTTCACTGAAATTTAATAAAACATTAAATATACATGCGGAATTAAGTTTTTGTTATTGAAGTTTGAGACGGCAAGACGCTGCCTACCGTGGGTATTTTAAATAAAGGTAAGTGAGGAGTGTGAGTGTGATGAGCAGTACTCACACGGCGGGCAGGGCCCTGGCGAGGCGCAGCAGCAGCGCGTGCGCCTGGTCGCGGTGCGGCGCCAGGTCCCGCAGCGCGCCGCCCGACACGCGCACGCCGCGCGCCGCCAGCGCCGCCCAGCCGCCGCACGCGCGCCGCACCCGCCCCGCCGCGCTCTGCAGCGCCGCCGTCGACATGCTGCCGTCGCTGCACGCACGCTTATATCTATACTATCTATCTATACTAATATATTCATCTACTGTGGTTTATACAGATGTTCCGTTGTAACTACTGAACCATGCATCCGATTGACTCGAAACTTGGTATTCATGTAGAAAATAAATACGCTTAATGGATAGATTTATATGAGTGTTGGACTCCCTACATCAGTTGCGGGGGCGTTAATGATGAGAATCTTTGTGGGGGTGAGAAATAATAATATTAATTTTAAATGCCCAGCGAAGCGGACGGATACAGCTAGTCAAATATATGTACTGTTTATTCTTTGTCATCGCGTTAAAGCGGCTAAATCTATTTGGGAATTTTTAATTGTTGGTATTAGAGCAATGATAGAACATTCGATTTAGCAATCATCAAATCAATTACTATGACACAAGTTCTAATGGTACACCTGATTTGTAACCAGCGCTGGATATATACCATATTGATTGATTGATGTATCACATCACAGAAGATCAAGCGCTAATATTATTAAGAATGTAATTCAAATATGTAATACATTGTGTACGAAATATATACAAAAGACGAACGAAGTTTGAATCACGTTGCCACGATTGAATTCACGAAAACTTGTTGTAGAAATACAATAATTAATAAATTCATAGCAACATGTAAATTCAATATGTGTATCTATCGTGACTAGTCACAAGAATTACAAAAATCTTGCACATGCAAACATACATACATAGACACGTGCATACATACACATACACGCCCACGGTCGGTAGCGGCTCACCTCTCTGTCGGTATAGTGTCGAGCAGGGCGTTCGCTTTCTCCAGGTCGGTGCCGGTGTAGGCGAAGAAACATTTTTCGACTAGATCCAAATGAGTGCAGACATCTAGCGCGAACTCCGTCGGTGACTGCAACACCTTCAACATAAAACTATTTAAACAACCAGGGGGAAAGAGGAGTGGTGGTATAAAAACGACACCTGATAATGATTCTACGAAGATTCAAATTCGGTGGGATCTTATTCGACAAGACATGCCACACGGATATATTGCCAAGCAAAAGTTGAAGTCGTGGTGGCCTAAAGGATAAGACGTCCGGTGCATTCGTGTCGAGCGATGCACCGAATGCCGCAGGCGGGTACCAATTTTTCTAATGAAATTTCTTCTTCTCAATCGTGTCACTCTTGACAGTGGTCATGATCGTCATGTAGTGCTGGAAGGGGCAGACTTGATGCGCCTCACGATGTCGCGCCATCTCTCCCTGCTCGAGGCCATCCTACTGCACTCATTTAGGGGACCTCCCACTGCAGTTTTAATTTGGTCGGTCCACCGCATTGGTGGCCTCCCGCGCGGTCTTGTACCATCAACGCTTCCCTGTACAACGAGGCGTTCTATGGACCGGCCATCTCGTCGCGAAACGTGTCCGAAGAAATCCACCATTCGAGACTGTACTATAGCAAATAGACGCTGCTTGATGCCGAGTTCCTGAAGTACCGAGACATTTGTACGAAAGGCTAATGAAATACGTACTAAATAAATGTTCACGGTTGACTTCCACGGTGAAGGAATAGCATCGTGTAATAAAAATAAAAAATAACTATAATTTGCATAATTACTGGTGGTAGGACCTCTTATGAGTCCCCACGGATAGATAATACCACCCTGCCTATTTCTGCCGTGAAGCAGTAATGCGTTTCGGTTTGAAGGGTGGGGCAGCCGTTGTAACTATACTGAGATCTTAGAACTCATATCTTAAAGTGGGTGACGGCATTTACGTTGTAGATATATAGGGGCTCCGGTAACCACTTAACACCAAACACTCTTACGTTTTATTCGTATTACCATCGCTTTGAAGTGACCTTTACCCACAGACTATATTACTCATCTAAAATATTGGAGATGAATCTTTAAAAAAATTTATTTATTTTGAAAAAAACTCACTTAGCACATTACCCACCAGGAGTATAGGAGACAAGTCTTCAATGCTTATATGCACCAGATAGTCGATGAGGCCGTTGATGCAGACGTCGTTGACCTTGGACCTGTTCTCCAGGCGCTTCAGGTACGGGATCACGTACTGCTTCAAGTCCGACACGAACGTTTCTGCCGTCGACTGGATCAACAAAAGAAATCCATTTCAAAAAGCTGTTTGTATTCTTATATTCTTTTTCTCTACCTTATCCCACTACAGTAGGCGCGTGAGATCATGTCCATCCTGAGGAATGCGGTAGTGCTGTGACCTAGTCAATTATGGTAATGTCGATAATAACGACCGATTTAGTCAACAGCTGTCAATTTGGTTTAATGTAATAAGTTTGCAATTTGCAATTTATGAAATAAAATAAATGTGATAAGTAATGACTTGTTTATTTCTAATAGAGAAAAAAAAAATTTAAATTCCAATTCAATCACTATCAAATGAAAAGACAACCGACAGATCAGAGTCGGAATCAGTATGTATCTTTTTTCAGTAGGTTTCTCTGAACTTGTTGGAAACAGAGTAGTCATGGTTAAATAACACAATAGCGTTAGCGTAAACGATATCGATAAGCGCGCGTCACAACCGTCAAGGACAACACTCGACGTCAGATAAATGCGGGGAGGTGGGCGAAGGCGGGGCGAGCTGTTCCCCGCGCGTCGCCTCTGGCCCCGATGGACATGAACTCGCGCGCATACAGTAGCTGGGGTCGGCACAGCTAATTTTTCTATTCCATTCTCCTCTATCAGCCGTCATCCCAACACTCACTCCTCTCTCACTCCTCTCTCTCTCATCTCGTCATTCACACACTCCATCTATGTATTCTTCGGTTAACCTCTAACCATGCACTACCATTCCCATACATCTCCTAGTCACGTGCATCACTTCTCTACGCATCACATGTCCATACCTAACCTCCTAACCGTTTGTGTTCTGATGAATTCGTTAAATTCCCTAAAATAATATTAATAACATTAATCTCACTCGGGGGTGCAGTAGATAGAGGCCCTAACTGTTGTGCTGAGGGTCACAGGTTCGGTTCCCACACTGTGTCATGAACAGTTTTGTTTGCTATTTGCCTACGTGTTTATTATCTGTATATTTATTAGAGTGGTCTTTATTTAGGGTTTGTCCGAATTTTTTTCACGATAGTCCTAAATAGGTTCTAAGTCTATAAAAAAAAACATGCCAAGTTCTACCTTTTAATTTAATTTTAACCGACCCCCCCCCCTCGATAACTAAGCTTTTAAATGAAAATAGCAGAGGGAAAATCTGTTATTACTTTGGATTTTTTTACGGCATCAACGGATGAACAGATTATATCGGCAAATAATAATTCTTGTAGAAAATTTAACGCTCTACAAAAAAACTTTCTACTACCGTCTAATGAACACATTCAAATAAAATAAAAATCGTTATAACAGCTTTGAATGCTCTTGAACCTATAACCTAGCCCTTGGTTATATACCTATCAAACAGTAAGGGTAACCTCTCAGTAGACATAAGTAAGCCAGTACTACTTGTCTGTGCGCGATCCGAGCACACCATACGAACAACAAACACTTGAACCGTCCGTGCGTTACTGGTACAAACCAATCATCGATTTTAACAACAGAATGAGACGAACATTACCGTTTTCATGAGAAGCGTGCAAATTTCCAGCGGCGGCAGACCTTCGAGCTGCTTCAGCGTGACCCCTTCGATGTTTATATCGTAGACCAGAGTGTCCAGGGTCATGAGGTGAAACATAATTTTGTCTAAGCCTTGAACGCCGCCGCCGACCATCGCAATAGTCACAAGGGTAAGAGAATGAGAAACCATGCCGCTTCTCTCTTCGATTTCCCTCGCTCTCTTTTCGTACCATTTCCCTAACTCTTCGTCTTCTATTAAGACATCCGCGACGGTCTCGACATCGGGAGTACAGTCTTCCGACCAGTTGGAACTCCATATCGACCTGGAACAAAACAATAACTCTTTAATTTCGTTTGTAACTTTCACGTACAACACCCCAAACTATTTTGCTGTGTCTATAATGGTTGTAATTATTTATTACGTTCGCAAAACTTTTTATTCGTAGATCATGACAGTGTATCCGGTGTGAGACCGCAGTTCATAGACCATAGATAAAACACACATACATAGATGTTAGCAAGGCTTCTTGAAATTACACGCACTAAACAATTGTGTATGGTGGCCGCGAGAGGTTGCACGGCCGGTTGATGGCGGAACAAAATGGCGGTGCACGCGCGTCCCGCGGTGTCGTCGAAAGGACGACCCATTCGTTCGTCAAGAGACAACAAAACCTCAATGCAGTCACCAACCTTGACATAAAGTTTAATAACATACTTGATTGACAGAATAGTTCTATGTTTAAATAAAAATAAATCAGAGTGGAAATATCGATGAAATGTTTCTGACTGAATTAGCGTCAAAATTGTTATAATTTGTAGATATTAATCACTTTCACGCACCTGAAGATGGCTTTGCGGCACCAGTCGTTGTCATACTGCGAAGGCGGCAGTTTAATTGGGGACTTCTTCTCGAACCACTGCACGACCTGCTTGGTGGGTAACAAATGTTGATAGTCTATGGGGTTGATTGTCTCCGGTAGTTTCTCGAGAACGGCCAGCTGCATGGGGACCGTTTTGATTTGAGGCCACAGACAGGTGAGTGCCTCGACGCGGCCTTCCTTGGCGGTCTCGGCGGCGCTGTGCACGATGCTGTTGCTGCGGAGCCGGTCGTACTCGTCTTTCACGTATGTTGATTTCTCACAGCGTAGAATCGCCTGGAACGGTGCACTTGTGTAAGTAGTTGCGTAAATGTTCACGTCCCATTAGAATTAAACAAATTTACCAAATTCTCTATTTTTCAATACGGATTGTGCACACGCGAAATAAACAATGCGTTTCAGTTTGAACAGTCGGTGGATGACGCATTTACGTTGTAAATGTCTATGGGCTCCAGTAACTACTTAACACCAGGTGGGCTGTGAGCTCGTCCACCCATGTAAGCAAAAAAAAAAAAAACTACGACATATTTGAATTTTTTAAATTTGGTCGTTGCAAAATGAAGGACCGGGACTGCGGACAGAAACGAGATGAAGCGGCAGTTCTGCGCTAAAGTAAGGATGCACAGTATCTTATGTAGTCCTTACTACAGGCTCGTACCGATAGGTGATGAGAAACACCAACAATTTGACTTATTTACGTATAAAATACAGCAGAGACACGTAGCGCGCGCGGGCGGTACCTCAGCCATTAAATTTTCTTCTCTAGTCGATGTCGTCACGCCATCTCGCTCGCACGCGTCATAGGTGCAAAGTGCAGGAGAGGGATGGGACAGGATTTGCAAAACCAAATTAAATGTTGCTATCTTCAGAAACCAAAAACTAACAGTTGTAAACTAGCGCAACCAGATTGATATTGCTAAGCTCTCCCAAATATATCACAACGTGAATGCTAACAAGCACCTCCAAACAAGAGATCTAAAATCCATTTGAAACGCATAACGGCCGTCTCGCCCATTAAAGTTGAACATTCACGGCAGACACTAGCACCTCCCCGTGCAATATAAACCAAAACGACGAGTATTTGTTTAGCGTTGTGAGTAAATATTTCTTTTACGATAGAGCAAGAGTCGTGGCCGCTTAGAAACGACCGCACGTGCGTACGAGAGAGCGTGCGGCAGTGCGAGCGACAGAGCATGCGACAGTGTGGGAGACAGTGCGTGCGACAGTGCGGGCGACAGTGTGGGAGATAGTGCGTGCGACAGTGCGGGCGACATTGCGTGCACATGCGCAGTGCGAGTGCCCGGCACGTGTACTGAGTTCCTTACCTCATATAACGCCAGTCGATCTCTGTAGAAGAGCATGACGTGCCTGCAGCGCAGCAGCTCGCTCGTGTACGCGTTGAGATGCTCCAGGGTTATGTTGTCAGGATCTTCTATCTTGTTCTCAGAGTTCGTATTTATTTCTACAACATATAAACGAATATAATTTATAGTCCCTGTACACTAACTGGTAACTGTAACTATACTTGAGACCTTAGAACTTATATCTCAAAGGTGGGTGGCGCATTTACGTTGTAGATGTCTATGGGCTCCAGTAACCACTTAACATCAGGTGGGCTGTGAGCTCGTCCACCCATATAAGCAATAAAAAAAAAACTTTTACAGTATATTTCCATTCCCATTGAAGATGAGCAGAAATATCCATCGCTCCCGTGACAGTACGGGGTCCGAAACCCGCTTGCACCACAACATGTAGGTCATCCATTTACGACACAAGCAATCAAAATCTCATTTGGCTTGGGGGTTTGCGGTTATTCCTCGTGTAAATTATAGCTTGAATAAGTTTAAAATTAAAAAAGTTGATGCTTGCGTGTAGGTCTGCAGATGGCATATTCCTATTTATACGGTGTTTTTGTTCAATATTTCGTTTCATATTTTACATTATATAATATATCAATTACAAAGAGGGAGGTAATGTTAGGTTAGAGGAAGTCTGCAAGTAACACCTGTGACAGAGAAGTTGAGAAGTGTGCATTTAAGATGGTATAGATATGTGATGAGACGAAATGACAATGAGGTTGGTAAGAGAGTTTTAACTATGAATGTGGAAAGCTTTAGATCTTAGAAGAAGAGGTAGACCTAAGAAAAATGGATGGGTGGCGTGAAAGACGATAATAATATGTGTAAGAGGGGAGTGATCGAAGAAATGGTATATGATAGAGGAGTATGGAAGGAGAACACATGTTGCGCCGCCCCCAAGTGGCTGGGAGAAGGGCAGGGAATGATGATGATCAATTACAAAGGATATACACCATCAAGTATTCTCTCATTGGTAAGTTGAATCCCGAATTGCAGTAGTTCTTTGGCGGCCGGTAGTGTCTCGGGGAGGCGGTCCACGCACTGATGCACCGCCCAGATCTTCTTAGACACTTTGCTCTGGAATCGAAGTTTCGTTTTTATTATTCATCAACTGTAACTAATTAAAATGGCGAATTATAAAAATCTTATTACTTGACGCTGGCTAATGCACAAGCCGTGCTGGAGGAAAAAAAAGAAAATTCAAAAAATAATCTTCATTGTAATTAGTTGATAGATTTATTAAGATATATTGGCGCTCGTCGTGCTCACCAAGTACTTCTGTATGGCCTCTGTAGAGACGGGGTTCTTCCTCCACTGCTGCTGATACACCAAGTCACTGTCCAGCCCGAACTCTTCAGCCAAAGCCAAGGCTTCCGTGTACTTGCCGTTTTCAATCTAGACGTGGGATAAGGAGTAATGTATAGTAAAGTAGTCATCGGAACTAATGGAAATTAGGTTTTAATATAAGATATAAACCTTTTTACTGCGTTCGGAATATCAGCGCTACTTATTATTTAAAAATAGAAAACCGCACAGGTTTGTAAATAGTTTCTTATCATTTTCTTGAGCTCTTGACTAGACTATGATATGGGAATATTTTAAAAAAATTTACTCTAACAATTATAATTAAAACATCTACGATACACTTGATCCGACATGGTTCCTGTTGAAACATGATGGTCACGACCCTCAGCAGTAAAGAAACGACGCGAGAAGAGATACAGTTGAAATGTACAAGATGATAAGTGAAGATCATGGATAACCGACGTGACGCCTGTGTAACCCACCTTCCTGGAGAATAGTTCGGCGGGCGTGGTGCTCTTGACTCCGAGCAGCCGGTACACCCGGGAGACGACCGTTATCCGCTTCGGCTTGGGCTGGAAGGTCTCGATATCGGTGATCGCGAACAGCACAGACTTCAACAGCTCTTTGGTTAATTCAAACATCGTATCCTCTTCGTCGTTATCCGTCGACACTACTTCCATCTGCACAACCAAAAAAAAGTTATCAAAGAATCAGTCTTTAATGTAAATATTGTTACGCCGGTAAGAGTAACGCCATCTATCGCCGAATAGTCGAACGAATATCGAAGGATCTAGTAACATCTAGAACGCTGGCGAAGTACAACGTCGTTTATTGTCAGATAGCGGAAACTACTACTAGAGATGTGTGGAATATTCTCGATAATTCTACGGATGAGGTATCGGCTATAAAAGCACTGTAGAGATGGCACGCAATCAGTCGGTAATCGGAACTACTCGAAGCGAAACAGCAAAGGGATCACCTGAAGCGAAGCGGAACAAGCGAATAGTTTTAAATAGTTTTACAGTGTTAACTTGTAATTCGGTAGAATTTTTATTTATCCCGAATCCCAGCGCGTAACAATATTATGATAAAGCATGTCGAAACGCCTCTCTAAATGTTTCCTATAGAGATGGGGTACACGTAGAATTGTGTACTTAGAATATCCTCATCCTTGCGTCGATAATCCTCAATGCTAAGGGAGGGTCGTGGCCTCCTCTAACAACTTTCTCCGGGATTACCCTGCGCCACTCCTGCCTGACCTCGGCTGTGTGGATAGCAACGTGGACTGAAGTGTTGAGAGTGGAGCGTATCTGGTCCAACCAACGCATTGGACTTCTGCCTCTGGGCCTTCTTCTGCATATCTTGCCTGTACCCAGCACCTTCTCTAAGCTGACACCTCTCTTTCTGGCAATGTGTCCAAAGAACTCGAAAATCCATCGTGCGCATATAGTGCTGAGGCTCCTATTCTAAGTTTATATTATTTACATTTAAGATAATTGTATCAATTTATATAACAATTCACTTACACTTTCGTCACTTCGTGATTTCTTCGCTGGCAACACATTAGACTCGCATTCCAGCACCATGAATGTTCCCTCGTGAGCACACGTGATCTGTTCATTTGTAACATACAAGATTACATTAAAATTGATCCAAACACATAATTGTTATGGTGAATTAATTCAGTGGGTTCATAAAATATGTGCTTGATAGGATTATTGATAGTGATAGCAAGAGATGATTGAACTCTTTCTTGATATTATGATTTGAAGTTATGATAAATTGATTATATTATTATAACAATGTAGACTAAGGGTTTTTTTTTATTGTCCAAGTAGGCAGACGAACATCAAGCCCACCTGATAGCGAGTGGTTAGTGTCGCGCGTGGACATCAGCAATCGTGTGATAAGTTTCGTATGCTCGTCTTAAATACACAAATGACGTGAACGTCATCCCGTGTCGATACGGGCTACGTGATGCGTCTCATAGGCGTTGACCTGAGATGCCTTCGCACAAACTTTATACTGTTACGCTGGTAAAAGTAATGCCATCTATCGCCGAATAGCCGAAACGAATATCAAAGTATCTAGTAACATCTAAAACGCTCGAAAAGTACAACGCCATCTATTGTCAGATAGCGGAAACACACATCGAAAATACTCGACTTGTGAGGAATGTTCTCGATAATTCTAGGGATGTGGCTGTAAAAGCTATAAAAGCGTTGCAGAGATGGCATGCAGTCAGTTAGTAATCGGAACTACTCGAAGCTTAGCAGCGAACGGATCACCTGAACCGAAGCGGAAGAAGCGAATTAAGAATTTCAGTGTTCTGTGAGTGTTTTAAATGATAAATACAGTTTTAATTTGTACTTTGGTGGAACATTTATTTATTCCGAACCCCAGCGCGTAACAATACGATAGTTTGTTAAAGTAATGACTTTTTTGAACACGTGGGTGTTTAATAATAAAGGCAAATAATGCTAAATTAATATTTAATTCGTGTATGAAAAGTATACGAGTCTGGTGGAATGATTTCTACATGACCTAAGCTGAGTGCGCGGAGAGCCATGCGTCCAACCAATCTAAGGCAAAGTGTCGTGCGTGTACGTGTGTATTTGTGCGTGTTTAGTGCACACATATAAAACGACAACATCAATTTAGTTTACGTCAATATAAACTTGTTGGCTTAAAGGACACGTTCCCATGTCACAAAATCTTTAAAAATATATTAAGTTGTTGGCATTGCCATTTACATTTATGAAATATTAGCATCAATATACCTCAGACGGCTTCATTGAATAAAAAAAAAAGGTTTAATTTAATTGTTATATACCGCGTGCGTATTGTGGTAAGCTATAGTTGTAACAGTATATATAATGTGCAATACCCGTGGTGCGCCCTGGAAGAACTCGGGTTTCTTCCCGAGAATGTTCATCATGTCCTGGACGGGACACACAGACACGGCGCCGCTGAATCTGGACACTATTATTTCCTAGAATTTTAAGCATGGTTCATTTTAGGGTTCATACTACAAGCTAGGCATTTATAATATATAAATCTAGTCTGTGCCTTCATGCCATGCATTGATCAATGACCGGAGCCGCTGGAAGAACATTACAAGGAGTAAAATCCTGTCGAAATATGATGGTCATGACCCTCTGCAGTGAGGAAACGATATGAGGAGGAATCTAGTCTGTATCATGAACCATCTAACTGTGGAAATTACTGCAAAACATTATCATTTCTATTTTCTCAAAGTCTAACCCATTAAATGCCTTCAATACAAAGAAGAAGAAAAATATATATTACATTGTGCACCAAAAGTAGGACATTTCCTGAGATGAGATGTCCTACTTTTTTCCCGCGGTGCACATACTGCTTTTTCTCCTACCAGGCCGAAAGTTCGTGGAGTACCGAGCCGGGGTCCAGGGGCAAAGCCCTGGCGCGGGGTAGGAGGGAGCGGAGTCCCCCATACTGTAAAAAAAACAATTTAACTGTTTTTTAATTTTTAAATAAACTACTACTAATTGAACAAGAACTGTCTGATAAACCCATCTTGGTTTAATACTTCACTATGAAATTTTATTGCCTTTTGTTTATTTCACTTTTACACTAAACACGATATTGCAAATTACCTGAGCACAACAACGAGAATTTTAGGTGCGTGAGAGCAGACGTAACGCGCATGCGCACTTGTACCCAAGGAGGAAAAGTTACACTTTCTTCCCTGTACAGCGGGACGAAAACCGAACTTTCGGCGTAGGTAGGAGAAAAAATAGTAATACTGTGCTATCAATAATCTCATTTTATAAAAACTATGCTTGAAATATTTAATGAGTTCCAAATAGGCAACAATATTATTATTGTCATATTACAATATATATTATTACAAGGATTTGTCGTTTGAATGTTGGCCTAATATTTTCGACCGAGTAACCCTTCACAGTGCATAGTGCAAAACGCAAGTAACATCTGAAGCTTTAAGTTTCACAAAATATTTGCATTTTCTTTTTCAGTCACTCATTAAAGTTTAGGCATATAACAATGGAAGCAGTCTCAAGCCGACGATCGAAAAGTGAAATGTAGCGCGTTGTCTATGGTACTCGCCTCGCCACTCCACCAGTTAACATCAGCCACGTAATATTTGACCGGGTCCTTCTTGGTTGGTTTATCGTCATTGCTCAGTGGATTCCTTAGGTCGTGCAGCGGTTGGGTATCCAAGGGCCACCGATGTTCCGCTTTCAGCAGCGGGAGGCGCCACACCGAGACGTCTCCGTTGCAGTGCAGACATACGAGTCTGGTCGCGTCGGGCGATAACTGCATTTGGACTATGAATGCCTGGAAACCAACAACATTAAATATTATGAATAAAAAATATATAATATCTACAACTACATAATATATACATAATTTTCCTATTACTCTGTACTAAGTCTTATTTTTTGTGTGTATATAAATAAATAAATAAATAAATATATTTGTTATTATATATTATGATAGCAACTTGTGTAATTTTTATAGCCCTAAACAAATTATGTTGCAGTTTGAATGAATAGTAGTAAAGGCAAAGAAATTTCGACTTCTCGAGACTATATTCTTTAGTATATATTTACAACAGTACATACAAAATAGTAGAGGATTTTTTTTCCCAGTCATAGACAACTATAGTATTCAATAATATAGTTGTCTATAGTAGACTTATATGACATTATTTTAATTATGTTAAAATGTAGACGATTGGTTCGAGAATATTAAATAAATATGCTTACTAAATTCTTAGAAGTTACAAATGGAATGTAAAGCTGGAATCTTTGATTTGCCAACTGCGCCTCGAGCTCGTCCGACACAACAGACAGTTTATAGAATGGATCGTCATTTAGTATCCGCCAGGCTGTGAGTCCTGCGCTTAGAGGCGATGACGGATCCTGCAGGTATAAGGAAACATTACTTATTTATTAAAGGTCAAATACTTCAAAAACTACTGAAAACTGTAATTGACATATTTTATTAACCATAGCACAGTATCCCTTGCTGAATGATGTATTCAATCTGACTTCTTATACTGTGTGAAATTATTTTAATTCAATAATATCTTGCACAAGCACAAATTGACGTACAATAGTAAATTTTTTACGGGATTTGATTTTAAATTACTTTTTATAATAATAAAATCGGTATTGTTGTCATATTATTGAACTCCATAAAACTCCGTGAAAATAAAACTTACCTTTCCTGAACCTCTAGGTACTCCAGCAACGTAAAGAGTGGAATGTCGATCACTATATGCTACAGCGGACACACCTCCACTGAATTTAAATGTATGATGAATTTTGAACCCTTCTGTCTGCGATACCAAATATCCACGCAGTTTACCGTCATATGTCACTATTAGAACTTCCCAGTTCCTGTAAATAGTCTTACAATTTAACATAAAATCGCTAACAGTGATAATACAACTAAACTTTGGTTGCAGGAATAAATTAAACACACACTGTTTTAACAAGTTTCACTAAAATCTATGGACATAATCGTAGTAAATCNTGAACCCTTCTGTCTGCGATACCAAATATCCACGCAGTTTACCGTCATATGTCACTATTAGAACTTCCCAGTTCCTGTAAATAGTCTTACAATTTAACATAAAATCGCTAACAGTGATAATACAACTAAACTTTGGTTGCAGGAATAAATTAAACACACACTGTTTTAACAAGTTTCACTAAAATCTATGGACATAATCGTAGTAAATCTGAGATTTCGAGAAATTGACAACATGAGACATGTATTTGTAGAGGTGTATATTTAGTACACGTTACTATGTATACATAATCATTTTTAGTTAACTTTTAAGGGACTTGTATTATTGTTGACAAACTGAGTCACAAGATGCTGTTGGACACGTAAAAAGTTTCTATTCAAAAATTCCTATTATGAATAAAATATTACCATTTGGTGTCTTTGACCCTAAGTGGCATGAATATAACGTCGGCGACTGCATGAGTGTTGTCTGAACACTCCAAGCCCTCTGGTCTTGAACATTCCTAAAATGTTGATGAGTTTGCTTATTACTATTTAAAATCACATAAAACTACATAGAATGGATTATTCGGTAGTTGGGACAAACTTTAAATACGTAGTGACAAACAGTAGTAAATAAATGTGTTGAAGCATACAGGGTACAAGCATATTGGTCCTTATAATTTGCATGGACTTAGCTGGTGTTTAAAGCAAAACCTTGCATGGATGGATGATGGTTTCTTATTATTTTATGCAAAAACTAAAATAGATTTTGATAATACTTCATGAATATACAATAATTTCAAGAAATTATTTATGTTTTCATTATTCCATTATTATAGTGGAACAACCATTAGTCAAAAAAATACCTTACTCTTAATTAGGATATTAAAGTGGTTCATACAATACTATATTTCCACATAGATCTATTTAGAAATCTAAAGGTTATCTTTGTTATAATTTATTTGTTTATCTAATTTTATTATATTTATATATTATATAGTTTTAAGCACAGAAGAAATAATTATACCTTCTTCAGCTATCACATGCTTATTTATTATACCTCGTAAGGTAAAGTCCATTGTGCCAAAATTTGTATAAATAATTAATGTAATGCATCATTGTAAATAGAGACATCAACATAAACTAATTCTAGTAATAACATAAACTAATTCTAGTAATAATGTAAGGAAACAAAATAGTTTCATAATATACTGGCATTAATAACAGTTGTATCTGTAAAATCATAATTTCTCAAAAAGTACAGTACAGAATTTACCCAGTTTGTACGTTTGAGTATGTTTAATTCGAGTATTTTTAAAAATTAATTATATACGATTAGAGTTTTAAAAACATTTATGCTTACAATAGGAATATTGAAAAGGTTTGAAGCAGTCAAGTCAAAGAAGCCAACTACGCCATTCCCATATGCTAGAACCACAAAGGAGCAATCGGGACTCCAGACGAGTTTCCTCCATTGTGAATAAGGATCCCTATTAACTGTGGAATAATATTATATTTATAACAAACATTGTTTTATGTAGTCAACAATGAAATCAAGATAATTATAATTAGAAGCCAATTACTGTCATCTACCTCCATGGACATGACAGTATGATATAGCAAAAACTCCCTGTCAAAATTTCAATTCAACAAGAGATAAATTTTCAAGAGTATTAAATGTGAATATAATTAGGCTTTAAGAGTACTTCAAATCCTATTACTTGCTACATAGATTTAAAAATTCTAAATTTCATATTAGTTTAAGTAATTTAGTTTCTTTTTGTATACCTAAATGCTGGTAGCCTCATAAGGCTTTACCAGCTTCACCAGGTTGTTTAGTTGCAATTAGATTTGCAAATAATAACTATTGGTCATCAAATGACTTATTACCACAGGTATGATCATTGAAGCAAATATCTAACCTGTAGTTCTAGCAGCAATAGTAGCATAGTCAGATCTCTTTGTTCTAATCTCCAATATATTGTCAGTTAACACAGCAATGACTTTCCCTTCATCTCCAAGAGCGATATGCCACTTTTGGTGGTTTTCTTTATGACTGGAAAATGTAATTTTCTTTTAAACAATCACGCCACATTATCTGGTCCCGTGCTAAGTTCTACTAAAGAACTTGTGTTACNTTCTAGCAGCAATAGTAGCATAGTCAGATCTCTTTGTTCTAATCTCCAATATATTGTCAGTTAACACAGCAATGACTTTCCCTTCATCTCCAAGAGCGATATGCCACTTTTGGTGGTTTTCTTTATGACTGGAAAATGTAATTTTCTTTTAAACAATCACGCCACATTATCTGGTCCCGTGCTAAGTTCTACTAAAGAACTTGTGTTACAGGTACCAGATAACGGAAGTAAATGTAAGATTTTTATTATACACATAAATATATTTAATATACATGCATAACCCTGGAAAAGACATTTTATATTTATCATACAAATATCCTCCCTTGGAGGGATTCGAACCCAGGACCCCCTTGTGTAGCGACCACGTCACTTACCACTACACCAGAAGGCCATTAAATTATTAAATTAAATCCATATTCTATTTCTTTAACACGATATGGTTTAATATAAACTCTTTGATAATACTCACGCAGTTACACTGTCTATTAAATTCTTCTTGGGTCCAAAAAATTTAAGCCACTTCCATAAAGATGATATGTTTTCTGGTAGTAGTAAGTTATCAGGTTTTTGCTGTGGTAAAAAAATATAGATTTAATATGTTGTGCTTTTCTTACAAAAAAATCTACAAAATTACTCACAATATATTCTGGTTCAGGTTTCCATTCCGAATATACGTATAGTTCGTGGAGAATTGATTTATTCTCTTCCGACATGATCAGGCCGATTTTTTTTTTGTTTAAGCCCTTAAGATCGGTTTACCCTAAATAATTTCATTTATTTTAGTTAATTTCAGAAAATAATTTCAAGTCCCGATTAATTCAGAAAAACTAATATCGACCGATATTTTGACTTTTGAATGTTATGATGTTGAATATTTGTCAGTTTTGTCATTTGTCATAGATGTAGTAGTAGTTTTATTTTCCCAATTGGAAAGGCAAAGGTGTCATAACATACTGCCTAGTCTTTTATTTATTTTTTAATGAAAAATGATATTATGAAATGAAATGAATATGAAATGAGATAAGATGATATTGGATGAAATTAAATTTCAGTAAAATGGTGGTCATTTACTGAGATTTTTTCAGTGGACTTTTTGGATGATCCCGAAAAGTTACGTCCAGCGGCTGTTTCGTTTTCCCATTTGTGCTGATGTAAACTTTTTACTTGAAATTATCTGTCATAAGTCTTGTTGATGTCATTGTCAATCTGTTTTATTAGTTATACCAACACAAATTTTACTGTTAATTTTAGCTTATTAAAACCTTATATTCATTAAAGGTTTTCTCTTATTACATGTGCACTTTCACAGATATTAAACAGTTTAAACCACCGTTATTTAAACCTGAAGAAACGCTAAATAGACAAAATAGGTAAAACAAATAACACAACTTCACTCTTCGCGTTCTCGCCAAAAAGTCAGATAGTACTAGAAGTGGTCATTACGACTCATTTCATTTCGTCCCAGTTGATTAATGTCTAAAATTAATCATCTTCATTTCATTTCACTCCATATTATCATTTTTCATAAAAATTAGAATATTTTATAAATTAAAATAAGAGATGACTTATAGGTCTTAGCTACCGGGTCATAAAATCCCTTAAAAAATAGGTACAGTATGTACCTGATGCTGGCCACTGACATGCGCGCAAATATTCGTACATTGTACGAATGTTTGCGCGCATGTGAAGGGCCGTCAAACATTCATTCGCAAACCTAGCGGCTGTGCAACCCGTTTGCGCTTTCTCCTACACTTGTTTACGAATGTCTCACGAATTTCTCCTCCTTTTTAATTCGTAATAGAACATTGAAGAGAAAAAGAGTTTTTAATTCTTTCCCAGACATCATTAACAGCCATGCTGTTTTTATGGGATTTCTTTTGATGAAAATACGCTACACAGTAGACGTCACGAACTATGAAAATGGCGTATAGTATACGTCCGTTACCTTCACAATCGTCAGCGCAACTGGGCAAGCAAATGTGTGGGAGACTACGCGAAGGTTCGAGGTTCGCGCGCTTTGATGTCTGTTAAAAAACCGACACAACTTGCAAAACCACGAATGCAGCGAAAACTTTGCATAATCATTCGCAAATGTCGTCCTACACTTGCGGGTTTGCGTATTCGTGCGCATGTGATAGACCGGTGTAAGACCGTACTACCGGTTTAACGGGGTGATTAGGGACAAATTCGAACTTGATGAACAATTTTAAGGTAGTTGTTGATGTTTAAAATGCTATATCAGGATCAAAATGATTGAGTCTTGGGGGCACCTTTATTATCCAATTTAAAGGTATGCAATTAGCATTCCAATTTAAGCAAAAAAAGCAAAAATAGGTGTTAAAAATTGTTCTATAATAACCGTAATTTCTGGGTAAATAGGGATTACCCAGAAATTGCGGTTATTATAGAGGAATTTGCTAGGGCTGGCACTCATAGGTATTAATTTATTTATTTATTTAGTTGTACCAACAAAGTGATCATCAATAAAAAACATTGAAAAACTGACAAAAGTACATGGCAATTCTTCTTCTTCTTCTTCGTCGCTTTCTTCATTGCTGAAGGTCGTGTCCCTGAAACTTGACCGTTGCCTGTCTCGTGAGCTGTTTCCATTTCGTCCGGTCCTCAGCTGCTCGAATGGCGGTTGCGACTGGCAACCCAGTTAGAGCGGTTACTTGATCACACCAACGGCTAGGTAATCGGCCGCGGGGTCTCTTTCCTTCTACTTTGCCCGTCACAATCACTTTGTCCAAGTTATCTGACTGTCGGCGGGCAATATGACCGAAGTAGCTGAGGATCCTCTGGTAACAGATTGTTGAGAGCCTGACTCGGATGCGAAGCTGATCCAGGATAGATTTATTTGTCCTCTTGGCCATCCACGGAATTCGGAGCATTCGTCTCCAGCACCACATTTCAAATGCGTTTATTTTCTTGCACTCGGATGCCTTAATTGTCCAGGACTCTGCCCCGTAGAGAAAGATTGAGAAAACTAAGGTTCGGACGAGTCTCATTTTCGTGACGTTAGAGACTTTGCGATTTTGTCATATTCGTTTGAGCTTGGTTATCGCTGTTTTGGCCATCTGCGTCCTCCTCCTTATCTCTCCCTCACTGCCTCCGCGGTCGGTCAGTAAGGACCCGAGGTATATGAACTCGCTGATGAATTCTAAATCTGATAGCTCTCCAGTTAATTGAGGTGACATGGCAATATGTCACCTCAATAATAATTATAGGTGCAAAGCAATCGACAGTGCATTGACAACAAAAATAAAAAATATATAACTAAAACTTGATTACATTTAATTACTTATGATTAATTTATATTTACATGGGAAATTATCCGCGACAGATTTTTCCTGTAAGTTGTGAGACAATTAGAAAAAACATATATTTCATCACTTAAAGTTAGTTCAGCACAATCGGACAACTCCGAATGAACATTGAGGGAGGCCGCGCTGCCATGGACATTATTGTAGTCCCAAACATTTCTGTTTAAGGGAGAGTAAGCACCTAAATACGAACGAGCGGGCTTTCTTATAAGCGGTTTATATTTCTTCGTTCTTAGTAAGTACTTAGGGGCTGATAATTTTATCTGGGTTAAGAGATTAGGTGTGTCGGTTATTCCATGGATTAATCAGATGGATACCCCCACTCTGAACAAATATTATATATTTTATTATGTATTACTTAGACATTTTTGTCCACCTTGAGATTTCATTGTTCTTGTTACATGTCTGTGCAAAATCGACTTACTTATATTAAATTGCTTAGCTATTTCAACTAAAGACTTATTCCCAAATTCATAGGCTTCAATTGCTGTTTTTAATATTAAGGGACCATATTTTCTATAAGGCTTTGCACTCTTTGATACGTAC